CCATGCAGGCGCCGACGGAACCTGCTTCAACCAAAAGATATCCGGATACTACACGCCCGGCACATTCCAGCAATACGCCCTAGGCCCCGCCAACTACGTGACACCGATCCCGGACGGTCTCGCATCCGACGAAGCCGCGCCGATGCTCTGCGCCGGCGTGACCGTCTACGCAGCCCTGAAGCGCAGCAACGCCCGACCAGGCCAATGGGTCGTGATCTCCGGCGCTGGCGGCGGCCTAGGCCACATAGCCGTGCAACTAGCCAGCAAAGGCATGGGACTGCGCGTGATCGGAATCGACCACGGCAGCAAAGAAGAACTCGTGAAGGCCTCCGGAGCTGAACACTTCGTCGACATCACCAAATTCCCCTCCGACGACAAGGGCCAAGCCATCGCCGCGCACGTCAAATCCCTCGCCGGGGGTCTCGGCGCTCACGCCGTCATCGTCTGCACCTCAGCCAACGCAGCCTATGCCCAGGCCGTACCATTCCTGCGCTTCAACGGTACCCTCGTGTGCGTGGGAATCCCCGAGAACGACCCGCAACCGATTGCGACCGCGTTTCCTGCCCAGATGATCAAGCAGCATTATACGATTACCGGATCGGCGGTGGGGACGCAGCGAGATGCGATCGAGACGCTGGATTTCGCGGCGCGAGGGATCATCAAGGCCCATTTCCGAACGGAGAAGATGGATGCTTTGACGGGCGTGTTCGAGGAGATGAGTCAGGGGAAGTTGCAGGGTAGGGTTGTTATCGATTTATCTTGACGTGACGTCTGTGGCTGCTTCTTTGTGTTTTTGTGTAGGTCTAGTTTAGGAGTTAGCTGGAGGTCGAATGGAAGTTCACTCAAATATATATTTCAAGGAAACACATGAAATGAACGATGCACATAAAAAGAAGAATATCACCGCAGTAACATTATAAACGATGGTCCCATGAACAGACAGACACAAAGACAGGGAATAAAGAACCTCAAAAGACACACACACAGACCCACCATGCAAATGAAACAACAACCACAACAACCCCGAAAAAAGAAAAAGAATTCCACGAACCAGTCCCCGTCCCCATAAGAGAACAAAACACAAAGAAAGAAAGCCCAGAAGAAATAAAAAAGAATGACCGACGCAGGACTCGAACCTGCAATCTCTTGATCCGTAGTCAAGCGCCTTACCATTGGGCCAGCCGGCCAATTGATGAAATAACCGGGGGATCTTTGCCTACATAATCCAGCCCTAAGGTCAAACCCGCGGACAGTAAGTGACACACACAAGTGACGCGGCGGTGGTGGTGGTGGTGGGTGGGTCGAAGCGACTTTTCCCAGGTGATTCTTATGCATAAAGGCCGCTTATTTCCGGGGAGAAGCTCTGCCGGTCTGTCTGTTGGGCGGGGGTGTGTGGTGCTAGTCTTTAGGTGGCATTGGAATGGTTTTATTTTTCTTTGTGCTGCTGATTGCGGGGAAATTGGGGTTGGGGTGTTACGGAGGATCTGCAGGGTAGTATTTATTGAAGTTTATCTAGTCGTCTAGTAACTCCATAGTAGGGTCTAGTGCTGGTTGGAGATGGTGGCATCTGTGTACTGCGAAGGGGGTAAAGTATCCGGAATGAAGGAAGAGGATTGATTAGTGGAAAAGGACGGAAAAAGTATTCAGTATAGCTAGTAAGCAATGCATGAGCTCATTCGTAAGAATTACAGCGACTCCGAAGGAAGGGATCAATTACTCGAACAGTCCCGAACAGTTCCCTCAATGCTTGCATTTCGATGGTAGATAACTTCATAACTACGTACTGCTGCGCAATTCCTGTCCAACGACTCTTCCTGCTCAGTCCCGAGTCCACGGGCCTGCGTACCGAGCAGCTGGGAAGGAGGGTCTCAGTCAGACATGGGCATGTAGTAGGACACATGATGTGAACCTTTCTCCGGGAGGAGCCTATTGGTCTAGCTACCAGACGTATAATATCTAGCAAGGTCTATAGACGTCATAAGCAGATTCTGAAAGGGCCGCTTTGCGTCGGGGGAATCCGACCCAGCAATTCAATGATACCAGAGAAAGTGTATATTTGGAATGGGTAGCTGGGTGCGAGGGAAAACCAGGCTGTTGTCCCTTGCTTAATGGCCGGTTTGGGGTTGATAACCTTGGTCTTGGGGCGGCCGTTCGGAATTTGAACCGTTCCCTCGGGACCTGAAGCACGCAGTGGGTGGTATTAAGGTTGGCTGATCATGCCAGGACACATTCCTCTGGTACGAATGCAACCATGGGACTGTCTGGGAGCTGCTTTGGTGCTTGTGTCACGTCCCGCTAACAAAAGTTGGACAGGTACCGTGGTAGCCCGTGGCGGTGCTGTTCCCTTGCACAAGAGACAAAGCAGAAGCTAAGAGGCAAAAGGAAATGCTATAACGTCATGGGCAGAGAGCCGATGCCAGACCAGCTAGATAGTAGGGCCACAGGAGAAATGATGTAGCTTATCTATCTGGTTAATCAAATTGAAACAGTCTCGCGCCTCCGTAATGCAAACAGTGGTGTATAATGCATATCAATGACAAAGCCGCCCCAACCAACCATGCAATAACAATAACCAAATCAACTGGCCCCTCCAAAGTAGGGGAATGAAACCCTGAGATTCCTCACCGTGTGCGCTTGCTGTAGCCTCGACTTGTAGACGAAGACGGTCGCTTTTGACCAGCATTGGCAAGAGGTGATTCCGCAGCACGTATCAACGCATCGAGTCTCAGTATGTAGGCCTTGGGAGCTCGATCCACTTCAATCCGGTGTAGAATAGCTTTCAACCTGCCCACGAATTGGTGGAGCGCCATAGCCGGTACATGCTCTAGGGCATCAAGAATAAAGAATTCACCAGTTTCATCAGCCTTGCCAATAAGCTGGTGGAAGAGATTGCGTTGATCCTCGTCCTCTCCGTGGAATGTCACTCGGCCACGTTCGTTCCCCTCCAGCGCATCCTTATTACGGCCACAGATATCCTCCAGCAATGTGACCAAAGTCTTCGCAGCCCCCTCCATACCGTGCGGTGCTCGAGCGATGATGTTTTCCCGGACGCGGTCGACGTTCTCTTGAATTTTTAGAATGACAGTCTCCACGTCCAAATCTCCAGCCTCATTTGAAGCTTGTCCTGTAAGGCAGTAGCGGTCGAAGTCTGCTAGTAGCTTCCGCAATCTCTGATGCACTTTGTCAAAGAAGATCACCGCACAGGCCGCAATCGGCATCGCCTTGCATAGACTGGAATAGACTCCGTCGTCGTGCACGGCAAGCCGAAACATTGTGGCTTCAAAGTCTCCCTGCACAACACATTGCTCAGGGGTACGCGACTGTCCTGCATCATCAACAAGATCGAGACGGAACTCCGCAGGCAGTATCACCGGACTAAAGGCCGACAAAATGTCCCGGACCATGTCCTGTCGGCTCATTCCCCCCTCGGCTTCGGAGCGAACATATTGCCAACACAGCTGATCCGCAATGGTCTCCAGCTTGCCATCCAGCAGTTGTTCAACGCGACCAAAGTTCGGAAGACGTCCATCGCTCGACAAAAGAATGTCGGAGGGAGGCGGTTGAGGGACGAAGCAGCCATGAAGCTGATCAAGAAGCCACTTTTACTTGGTGTTAGGATACCGGAAGAGAAAGGAAAATTTTACTCAAGGTGGGGGCATGAGGCTGCTCACGAAAATGTGCTGGCAGGCCACATTGGGCATGCCTAAGAAGGTCGAGCAGGTGCACGTATACCCCTCTGAACCGAGATGAACTCGGGGCTGCTCAATGAATTGGAAATCAAACCCAGTTCGTGTCGTACAGCAGCTGACTACCTTGAACTGACTCGTTAACCCAACGAGAGCCCTGGCTTCGGTGTCTGAGTCAAGCCTGGCGAGATCATAGGTGATCCCTGACTTGCCTCGTACGGACGAAGACGCAGCTGAATCCCCCTCAGCATGACTCTCGTCACTTTCGCTTCTCAGGAGCTCACTGCTGTCGCTATCATCTGTGTGTGGCTCTTTCTCGGGCTGGGAGCGTGTCGTCAGCATGTCGCCTGTTATTGAGAGGTCGTGAAATTGTCTTGTGGGAGCAGACATTGAGAGTTATATGGCAATGGAATTTACTGTGGCTTGTGTGTCCCCTGGCTTGGATTTGTATTTGCTGGCCTCCGCGGCGAGACCGGTCAGTTTATATAGAGTTTGTTCCGAACCAAGGAAGGAAGCGGGTACATTGTACCAGCAACTGCTCCAAGCTTGCCGCAATCGCCTCTGCCACAGCGACCAAAGAGACAATAGAAGCTTCCATATGAACTACTGCTGGTATTTTGACTAACCCACTGAGCCTTGGGACCCGCCGTCAGTGGCCCCGACTTTGCCGCATAATGAGTAATGAGCCATCGTTTGGATATACTCAAGCATACACGTTCCACAATGATCTGGAATTTCCAATCTGCGGTTAGTGTGTCCGGTTAACGCCCACCCACTTGGCACAGGAGACATGATGATTCTGCGCCACAGATGTAGAGCTACTACAAGCTGCGTGGGATGTTGGGTGAGAGATTTCGTGTAGCTATAGGATCAGAAGTAGCGGCAGGAGAACCATGAAATCACAGGATCCTCCCGACTGAACCATATTAAGAGCCAAACGGCGATCATGCGCACTTGTGTGTACGAATCATAATGTGCAGCCGAGTTGGCACATCCAACCAGCCTGTAAACATAGTTGAATGTGTCGAAGGAATACTGCACAGGCCCTTGACAATCTGCACCGTTGCAGCAGGTACTTGATCAGTTGGCACAGGCTCCAATGTCAGGCGGCAACCGCTAGGAAAAAGGGGACGCGGTCGAAGCACTGGCTTCGGATTGTGTTGCCGCAAGCTGCGCAACTCCTCTTCACATCATGACAGCATATTGCTGTATCCAACGGAGGAATTCCTATGGTGGAAAATTATACTATCGATTATCCTTCCCTGTGATACGTATGCATCTTGTGGCACTGCATTACTACGCCATCAAATGGCCGAAAGATAGGGATCTCCCTTCCTCAGCCTCGTAATCGAGTCGGAGGGAGAACTTCTGGGCTGCGGGTTCCAATTTGTCGTATCCGCCTTAGGCCGCAAGTAAGGGTACCGGATTTCGTGATGCGCCGCAATCTCTCTCGTACCACATCTGCGGCATTATGCAGCCTGATTAGACGTTCTCTCCATGTGGCACAAGCGGCGCTGCCTCAGAACTGGGTCTTCAGATACTATAGGTTTCCATGGTGGGTGAACTCGACCCACGATTCGCTTGTAGAGAGTTTGCGGGAAGGAATCAATAGGCGCCCCTCTCTCGACCACACACTCGGAACGCCTATCTCTCCTTCCCTCTGCGACCACCGGAGATACCGAGCTGGACTAGATTGCGACATTCAGTACAGCGCAAGCCTGTACCACTGGAACAAAGAGAGTAGCCACCCTGAGGCTGTGTGCGGTGCCTCCACCTATCCTCTTACCGTGGCTACCTTCCATGCCACCGCAAGACTGGCAAGCACTCGTAAATTCTGGTGTGTATCAATGTTTGAATTCCCTCCCGATAACGTAACAATGGGGTCTCTGACTCTGGGAGCTCCGGTAATACCCATAGTGCATGCCTTGGGCTCCGTAAACTGGGTCCCAGTTTGATGAGATTGAAACTCTGCTCTCACCGGACTAATCAGCTCCCAGGTATTCACGAAGAATTACTCATTGCTCACCATATTATTGTATGCTTATCTCAAAGTGGAGTAGAGCCCTGACGGCGCCAAAGAGGAAATAGAGGATCACAGCCAAAGGTGCTCGGCCACTCCTCAGTTAGCGCTGAACGTGGGACTGCTGTTTCGAAATCGTCATATAAACGAATGGCGCCAGAGAACCATGATCCATTCAGCAGAGGAGCGCAATGTGGCTGTAATTTCTGCGTAATCGGAAATCTTTGGTGTTTGACCGAAAGTGACTGCGAGTTGTCTTGTGGGGAGCTGGACCCGTGACCACTGGCAGCAAGAGCCTCCTTCCAACGCCGGCTCTTCTTCTACTCTCTCACTTCAAGAAGCTCAAAACAATTCGCAATGAGACAGTAGATCATATACTCTCGATCTCTCTTGATTGTACGTAGCTTATGTAAAAATGAACTTGTAAGAGCCTATACACGCTTATAGTATCAATCATATACAGAACGACTAAGAATACGGGTAATAGTGCGGAGAAAGAAAAAAGCTAAAACTAGGAACCAAAAGCATCTACCGTTGTCTACTAGAGACAGACTATGAAATTCGTCATGTCGTCAAAGACCTGTCTGGCAAAAAGTGATTAATAGCTATCCTCAAGGGCGGCTTGTTTCAGTGTTCATCCTCGCCGCATTTCTCCTTTTGGCATTCTCCAATGCTTTCCGGAGCCTCTCCTGATGCTCGTGATCTTCTTCGGGCTTCCGTGGTGCAATATCAGTCGTGAGATGCTGGGATACCGGCGCAAGAGTATCGGCAGGCATCTGTGATGAAGAACCAGTTTGATCAACTATAGGAGGCTTGCCTAAAGACTCCAGGAGACCATTTATGCTAGTAATTATATTTGCAGGCCCAGACCTGATACTTTCGAGTTTGGACATGAGATCCGCTTGGATCTTTGCGTCTTCCTTCCTTTTCTCATCATCGAGCCGGCGGAAAACATCCGCATCGGCGTTTGAATAACGCGCCTCGGCCACAGAAACACTGTAATCAGCATCGTTGAGTACCGAATCAGCCATATTGAAATTGTGCAAGATGGACTCAGAGTCTTTACGCAAAGACTCAATCAGGTTATATACTGATTTCAGCAACTGTTCCACCTCGGAGTCTGGCAGCCCCGACGAGCGAATGGTCGCGGTATCGACCTTGGCCACCTTCGCAGCAACTTCGTCAAGGAGGCTCTGATTTTCACCCAACCCGTGCATGATGGCATCGTCAAACGAGTCCATCAGTCGGTTAGCTCTATTATCTCGCTCTCTAGCCGCTTCGAGTATGTTCCGTTTCTCCATCTGGTCGAAATCGTGATCCACGCCTTTCAGCGCCACGGAGTCGCCCATGAAAACAAGAGGCCGCCTCTCAGCCTTCTTCCGCCGGCGCTCCCGATCCAAAGCAATTTCGAGACGTTTTTGGTAACGTAACTCGAGTTTGCGATATATTTCATTCACCGTCCTCATTGTGTGCGACAGATTGTACCTGTCAGTGGTCGCAGACTTGGCCCGTCCATTTTCATGATCAAGTTGAGCAAGCGCGGCTTCGTAGAGCGCCTGAAGCGCAGCTATTTCTTCTTTCAAGCGTTGATCCAAAGGCTCGAAAACATCTGCGACAAACTTGTCCAACTCCTGTCTTTCTTCGTCTAGCTGAGCACGAGCCTCCTTCTGACGGAACTCCTCCTCCAGTACATTGATATCGGCATAGCCAATCTCCTTCCCATTAAAGAGCGCATCGATGCGCTTCTCCGACACCTCCTGGCGTTGGATCCGTTCCCTATCCAATTGCTCTCTGCGCGGTTTGCTTGAAACTTCCCAAGACTTTACCGCCTCCCTAATGTACGAGAAGTCATTGGAGTAATTCTCCAGATCCTTCCTAGTCGTCATATTCCACGAGCTTTCCGATTGTTTGGACATCGGCGATGAAGCCATGGACCGCAAGTCGTCAACTGGACCAGCTGGCTTTCCATGTCTGAGAGAAGCCGGCAGTGGTGGCGGAGAGGACGTTTTCCGGGGTGCTCTCTTTCGGTAGGCAACGCTCTTCTCCCTTATCAGCCCAATGAACGTTTCATCAAGTTCATTCCGACGCGGGGGCACTGCTGAACCAGGTCTATCTCCGGGAGTAGGTGCTGGAGCGTTCGACATTACCCGCCCACTCTCAGCTGACGCCTGCCGCAGGTCGGAATAGGCTTGATATGCAGGCCGATCAAACACAAGCACATCAGAGCCTCGTTGGGGACCTTCAGTATAGCGAAACGGGGTATAAATCGGCTGTGGAGGGTTGGTGGTCAGAGGGGGTAAGGCGTGTTCATGTCGGGCATCACCGAGCATGGAGGGTGGCACTGATGTCGCTCGTGACGACGTAGCATGAGCGACAAAATCAGTGTGGTATTTATTGCTCCCCGTAAGCGAGGCAGATCTCTGTAAATTTGTTACGCTGGGTGTCTGTATTTTGGGAAGAATGGGACGTCCTCCAGGACTGTAGCTGCCATCTTCCGAGTCGTCACCCCCACTATTCGAGACCACAGGACCGCCTTCGGTTTCGACTGGTATAAGACCGGATCCCACGTCATCATTCGAGTCTTTGGTCGATGCGCGTGGAGTGAGCGTTTGTTGCCGCGGACTCTCTTTGAGCTTCTCATCCACTGGCGCCAGTTCAGGCTCAATGTTGAACAGGATCTCTCGTAACTTGGTCTCCTTGGCCATAAATGCTGTGAATATATTGAAACGTTCCGCGTCGGAGTCAGCCACTGCCTCCTTTCGAAGCATTGCGACATAACGTTCCAACGAGGATTTGGACCAGGGATCAAGATCATCATACGGATCGAGTGGTACAAAGGCAGGGAGGATTGTCCGTTTATCCGTAGTTGGCCCGTTGGTGACACTGTTCGAATCCACTGAGCTTGACCCAGACTGGACTTGCTTTCGAGGAATTATCGATTCCTGTCTAGGCTTCGGGGTCTCGATTGGGCTCTGCTTCCGCGAAGGAGGCAAAATGCCTGTGCTGACCCGAGACACTGAGCTCTGAGGATTCTGCTCAGCTGATGTTTGCGCGATAGGACGGTTCCAAGCTTCGATGATGCCGTCAATGCTTTCAGCGGATTCAGAAGTGGAGATGTTACTCTGAACAGATCCAGTACTATCCATCCTGACTGGTTGGGGTGGAGTACCCTTTACCAAGGTCTGACTGGTCAAAGGGCCTTCACTTTGACTCGTTGTTTGGAATGCATTACTCGGAGGCGTTATAGGGCTGACGGATTCAGCCTTTCTCTCCGGCTCTTCAATATTTGTCGGGCGACTCTGAGACACCTGTGACTGCGGGTCCGAAGAGGGCCCATCCTGGGGCCGAGAACCAAAGGCACCTAAATCATCAATACTCCCTGGAGTGGGTGTCAGGTGCTCCCAGTCTGAAGGCCCGCCAGAGGCTAGGACAGAAGCGCTAGTCGGGGCATTGAGAGGGCTGGTCTTGGGAGGCACCGGTGGAGGAACGACGGGCGGTGTTCCATGTGCTGTACTCAAGGTCGCAGCCACAGGAGCCTGTGGAGGCCCGGGTAGTGGCTGGCTCTCATAAGATACTGGAGTGCTTGGCTTGGGGTCTGGAGCTTGGGAAATGGCCAGGTTAGGTGCATTATTGCCGGTGAATTGTGGATGGCTTGGCAAAGTCGCTGGCTGCTGCACCGAGGAATCGTGATACTGACCCAGGGGGGCACCAGAGTAGGGAGGAGGAGGAACCGGAGGTGGTTGCTGCCATAGGTTGCTCTGCTGGGCACTTGGGCTCTGGTAACCAGTGGAATTAGCTGGGGGCGGTGGTGGAGGCTGTAACGGCGAAGCGCTGACAGATTGCTGGGGAGCATATGGAGGATTCGATGGCCACTGCTGGTAGGATGTATTATCCGCTGGTTGGGTCGCCCAGCCTGGAGCAGCTGGTAAAGGTCTGTTTGGGTCTAGCGGGCTCACAACTGGAGACTGCGCCTGTGGTGATTGCGCCGTGCTTGAAGGCCGCGGCTAATTGGTTTATGCTCGTCAGAATATTGTGGGAGTCCATCAGGGGTAAATCAATGAAACGTTCAACAACACTCACAGGTAGTGGTGGGGGCGACTGCGCATGAAGTTGGTGCCTGTTGTACTTGACTCCCCATGAAGTGGTGTCGGAGCCCGCAACGGCAGAAACGGGGGATATGCTTGTACCCGGATGAACATTAACTGCTGAAGGAGGGTTGGAAATTTGACCGTAGATGGTGGGGTTGTATGGAGATGATGATGTGGTTGTCGGACGCGGAGGGGGCGGCGGAGGGGGCGGGGAAGAAGCGCGCCATGATGGTTGTTGCGGAGGATGATGGCGAGATGAAGCCGATTGCTGCGTGTTGGAAGAAGACAGACGCCATTCGGGCTGTGGAGGACCCGAACTTTGCGACCCATACATCTTTGAAGAGGGGAGGAACTCTTCTTCCGCTACGTTGATGCTGGTCGCAAAAGAAAAATAAAGAAGAGACAGAAAAGAAGAAGAAAAAAAAGAAAGAAAGAAAGAAAGAAAGAAAGAAAAACCTTCCGCAAGGTCGTCTTCCCCCGATGAATGTTTATTAGAAGAGGAGATGAAGAGGAGGAGGGATGACCTCAAGCGACAAGCTGCTCCCCTAAGGCAGGCCACGAGGCAGATCGGCTGACCGGAAAGGAGGTCCACTCACTCTCTGTGCCTTATCTTTCTCTCCTATTCTCTCTGTCTGTCGCTCTTTCCTTTCTTTTCTTTTCCTTCCCTCTTGCCCTCTTCTCAATCATGCAAGTGACAAAAATAATGTTAGTTCTGGGGAGAATCAGGAGCAGCAAAGCTTCACGCTTGAAAGTTGCCGAGTCGCTAAATTTTAATCCAATGGATGCTATCGTCCCTGTGCCACAATCCATTTATATCCACCATTCAGCGACGCCGCTACTACTACTAATTCATTGCGTTTCCCGCACTTGCTCCACCATCATGAACTGCCATCATCCCAGTGTCTACCACCAGCACCTCTACCAACTTAAGTATACTTACTATCTAAGATATAATGTTAGACCAAATCAATTCTGGGTTGCTTGAAGAATAGCCATCATGGAATACTGTGTCAGATAATAACACTGATGACCCCACAGCAACTAGATAGTCATCATATACTTATTGGTTGGATTGTCAGTCATTCCGGTGGGGATATAATACCCTATATTATACTACTCTTTGGTAGATCTACCGATTACAGTTGGAACCCAGAAACCCTGACCCATCTATCACTCTCTCAAAATGAACAATGTCAACGAGCTCAATATACTGCTACTAATCTCTCTGAATTGATGGTTCTTAATTCGCGCACACAATGGCGACGCATACAAAGAATTTGTAACTTTATGGTACAACATCCTCTTTGTGAGAATCTTTCATCATGATATCTCCTCTTCTATTTATAGCCTCTCAAAGAAGGTATTTACCAGGGATTCATCAGTCAAACAAGCTCGTATTATAAAGCGCGGCTGCTACTTCCTTTACATTATCTGCCCCGAATATCATTTCGTTTCCAAGCTTTCTGTTTGCCTCTCCCACCACCGTGCAAGGCAGCAGCACATACTCGAAGCGATATTCTTGGTTACCCAGCAGTCCTTCTATTAGTACACTATTGGCGAGAATCGCCTGATGTCTGATCTATTTTGCTACGAGCCACTTCTCGAAGACTAGGTTAGGTGCTTCAACTGGCAGCATCATGTCCAAACGTCCATACGATGATGATAACGATGACTTTGACCCATTTTCCTTTCCCCCAAGGCCTGATCTCTTTGATCAAACAAAATGGGCACCGCATGTGAGCAGAGAAAATGCAAGGATCGCGCATCGTTTCTGGTCCCTCCCAGACACTGTACTTGGAGACAGCCTAGGAGAGCAACCCCGTTATACCCAGCCCAGGGATGCGGGCGACAATCCCGCAGCACATGCGCTCGCAAGGAATGTCTATGACCACTTGATGCACGACGAAAGATTCCTAACGCCAATTAATCCTACAGATTGGCAAAGGGAATGGACCAATTCCGGGCTGAACAACAGGGTCTGGTCATTTCGCGACATCTTCGAAGGGCAGGGTCTCGATCTTGGGGAAGCCACGGAAGATCTTAATGAGGTGGACGGGCAGCTTATCAGGGACATGAAGGCCCTCCAGCTAAAAGCCGCCCTAGGGAGCCGAAACCTCTCAACTGAAGGGACGGTTCCCGTATTACGCCGGCGACTTCAGGACTATAAACGCAAAGTGTATCATCAATATTGCGTCCTGCCTCGAAGTGATCTGTCGCAATGGGGTGTCCACAGAGATGACGCGCGAAAGTACACTATCGAGATCAGCGACGATGATGGTATAGGTGCATTGGATATGTACACTTGTGCTATTCTTGCCAGCCCATATAACCCAGCTTATTGGCTGAGCCGGGCTTACTGCCATTACCAACAAGCGTTTTTTGACCTCGCCATCGGGGATGCTTATCGAGCAGAATATCTCTGTGACGTTCTTTATGATGCACATCGGCGAAGTCTCCAGCCTGGGCTCTATACGCGGATTTGGCATGCTCTGGAACAGCATATTATGGTTCAACCTAGAGATCCTATCACGGGTAATTTATCTGCGGAAGCTACATTGTTTCGCAGGTTCAATGGGGTTAATTTCTTCGTACCCACTATTCGGAAGGCCACCCAGCACGTTCTTGCTCTTAGTCTCATGGCGCTCCAGTGTTGGGACGACTATAAATCAAGGGGACGTCTTCTTAGAGCAAGGACAGTAAATGCAGACCGTGACTTGATGCCATTTCAAGAGCGCGCCAAAGTCATGGAATCCGTTGCTGACAGAGCCAAGACGGCCAAGGCAAATACTGAGTACTATTATTACGAATCTCGAGCCGGACACACCTCAGGGGACAGGATATATCCCCATGATGCAGACGACATTGATCGTGCTGCAGTTGCCTTTACAGATAAGGCGACAGATGTCTTTTTCAACCAGAATGAAAGCCTCCCTTGGAAGAAGTGCAGGATTGCCGCCAGCAACGATCAAGGTGACACACAACTGAAAGTGATTGCGACAGAGGATATTGCGAAGAATGAGGTCATCTTTGTCGAAAATCCCCCAATGAGAGGCCATCTCGAGCTGCCAAAGCTACCCATCAAAGTGGTACCATTAAAGTGTGACAATTGCCGGAGAACCCTGCCCGCCGAGCATGTGGAGCAATACACTCGTGAATTCGAACAAGGGAATGTCCGTGAAGCATGCAAATGTATCACACAGCCTGTCCCCATCCCATTCTGCCCTGCGCTAAACGATGACGATCCAACTTGCGCCAAGAATGCTCGAGCACGGTATCACTATCGTGTCTGTGGTGAAGACTGGGAATGGCTACACGACTCCATGCGGCCCGTAAAAGTCCTAGACCTCAACAAACGTCCACGTTACGAGTGCTCGTTTGAAGCACAGGCGACTTTACTGAGTCTCCTCCTGCGTGAAGTATTCGACATCACCCTTCACCGAAGAGAAACCCAAGACCCCAACCTCATGGCGCACGAAATCGACGAGCTTGTCGCGCTTGAAAACCCCCATAACTGGGCCAATCGAAGGTTTCCCTTCAGCCTGACCGCCAACGTCCATGTCCCCTTTAATATCCTCTTACAACTCGGCGTCGACATCTTCCGCGACCTTAGCTTGGACACCTGGGTCATCCAACTCATCCTGAAGAAGCTCACTGTCAACGCCATCCCCTGCGCGGGTAAGCGTCTCCAAAAGACGAACATTATCAAGAGTAAAACCTTTCCAAAACTGGAAGCTGACCTGACGACTGATGATTTACCAAATTTTTGGCCCACTTTCTCCAAATTATATTTATATCCTGGACACAGTCTGTTCAACCATGCGTGTCCTACTAAGTACAACGCCAGCTGGGCCTACTACGGCGACGAGAACCCTAATCTGATCATCTTGTGGTCAATCAAAGACATCAAGAAAGGTGATGAGATCCGCATCCCGTATTTTCACACTCTCGATACGGGTGTCTCCACTAGCACTCTGGAGCGTGCTCTCGGAGGACCTTGCAACTGTGGCGGGCCTCATCTCGATGAAAAATATATGCCACCACCACCACCCACCTAACAAGAAACAGGCGACCTGAAAGTACGCGACAGAAGAAAAAAGCGAAACCTTCATGACAAAGAATGCAGATAGAATCTTGGTGATATAGTCTGTTTTGTCTCTATTCTTTATATATCTATACACTTCATGTCATACCTGACGATGTTTGGCCTGTTGGCCATCCCGCTACACTACTCTTCGAATTGGTTCGTTTACTTGGCGTGTGATCTGTTGTTATTTCTTGATTACTCTCTCCGCATTGGACAGTGGCATTTCTTCTTCATTACTATCGATTGTCTTCAATCCCCTCTCTTGGTATAGTGTTATACTAGTAGACTATGCACATACGATGCACACCTTCCTAAACGGCCTTATATATCCATGGAAGAATAGCCGAGATAACATACCGAACAACCTAACGGGTACACCACTTATGACAGCTTAAGGGAGAGTAGCACATATTTTCGATATTTCATTATATGCATACAGACAGAACAGGGACGAAGACGAACGCGCAGGAAGCCCAAAATGATCAAGATAGTAAGATAAAATACAATACAGGGAGATAGATAGATAGATGTCTCGAACCCATCCATTGGCACAGCAGGATGGAGGTCACAGGGAAAAGAGAAATGGGGAGATAGAAAGAAGACAACAAAATGGGAAAGCACATGGCAAGCCAGTATAATCTTTACATACACATACAGAGTCTCTAATGCACGCCATGGGGAGGGAGATGAAACCAGACAGACAGATAGACCATTAAGCAATGACTCTCAGACGTCTACCGAGCTTCTCGAGCTCACCGATAACGCCTCCACCGGCCAAACTCCACTTCTCGCCAACCCAGGCGTCGGTGATGTTCTCACGGAGGAGACCGCTGCGGGCGAAGTATTCCATGAAGCCCTGGGCCTCATCACGAGTGAGACCGCCGATGGTCTGGATCTCGAGAGAGCCGTCCTTGGAGGCGGGAGACTTGGTAGAAGCGGAGTCGTTGAAGACGGCGAGGACGCGCTTGTCTGCGTTGAGGTAGGGGTCGGGTTGAGGGAATTCCGGAGAGGAGGGCTTGATGCCGGCCTGGCGGGCAGCGAGCTGCTGGAGAGCGACTTCGAAGCCGTAGATGGTGGGGCTGTTGGAGCCGGAGGTGGCGTAGAGGATGAGACCGCCGTTGGGGAGGGAGGGCTTGCCGGCCTCGGTGCTGGGCTTCAGGAGGGAGAGGAAGTGCTGGACGAAGACGAGGTCGTGGGCGTGGATGGGCTTGCAGTCGATGTTGTTGTACTTGGTCTCCTTCATCCAGTGGGCCAGGTTGTCCAGGGTCACGAGCATGGGAGGACGGGGCTTGAAGCCCTTCTCGAAGCCGGCGGCCGGGGCCGTGGCGGTGAGTTCGGTCCACAGGGCCTGGAAGACGCTCCATGCAACAGCGGGGTCCTGGATACCGGGCTTGGCGAGAGCCTCGAGGGTCATGCCGGGCTTGACGGCCGTCTTCAGAGCGGGATGGGGCTGGGAGACGGTCAACTTGGACAGAACCTTCTGGTTTGCGGTGACGATGCGAGACAGAAGAGCGGCGGTGGCATCGTTCTGGACGTAGACGTTCGGGTTCTCATCGGAGAGGGGTGCGTAGGCGGTGTTGGCAATGACGAGATCCTGGGCTAGGGAAGTTGTTAGTATTGTTTGCGTAGCTGCATATCAGTGCATGAGTGACGGTCTCACCTTCAGGAACCGTGATCACAACCCACTCCTTGGTGAAAGCCATAGACATGGCCTGCAGCATGTGGACGGACTTCCCGGAGCCCTTGACACCGGTGATGATCTTCCTGACGACCTTTCCCTTGTTCTCACCCTCCTCAGCGGAGATACCATCAATGAGTCTTCCCAGCTCGAGCGTCTCACGCCTCACCACCGTTCCCGGCCGACGGAATATAGACCAGCCCTGCTTGGGCTTGAAAGCCTGGACAGCCCTCAATTGATCGAGCATGGGCACAGGAAGACCCAGGATGGAGCCACGAAGGCGCGCATCCACCATGTTTTCGGCAGAGAGGTCCTGCATGCCTTCGACTTCAAGAGCGTTAGGGTTGCTGAGGACGATGCGTTTGCGGAGCGCTCTGCGTTCTCCGACAGCCGGAGGACGCGTCCTCTCAACGGGCTTCTTCTTCTTCATTTTGGCGGATTTAGCTTGACGGTACTTGGCAACCGGTAAATCGCCCTTCTTCTTAGCTCCTGCGAGGAGCGGCGTTGACGAGTGGAATGCTGCTACTCGCTGTGCTGTTAATGTCGGCGGGAGGATAGCTCGGGGAGCGGTAGGAAGCCGCGTAAGGCAGCTCCAGCAGAAGGAGGAAACCATCGCGCTGCGATACACACTGGCGCTGTGGCCAGCGTCCTAATCGGTCAATTGGGATTGATTGCGGCGGGGATGGGGGGTGGGAGCGGAGGATTGCGCGGAGGAGGAGTCGCCCAAAGACATGGAATGGATTGAAATTCGGAGCACATTTTGGAGCCTCGACTCAGATTCCTCCTCCCTTGCCCCTTTGGGACTAGTGTCAGTGCCGCTGGACCCGAAGGCGGTGTAACAGGCCTAAAAGCAGCATGGCGATTTTATCTCCCGAACTTTTTTTTTCCTCTTTACCCGATCGGTCAAATCACTTGTTTCCTTTGCGCCCAGTTCTCCATTCTTTTTTCCGGAGTCCCTGTGTGATACTCTCAACCTCAATTCCCAGAGTATCTTGTTCGCCAGTTGCGCGACAGAAGTACAAAATGGCGTCTACTGACTCCAAGCCCAAGCCGGAGAGACTGTAAGTCGAATCCACCTCCCCATTTGCGTGGGGAGAGATTATCATCTATCTATATAAACTCCGTTGAACTTGAACAAACACACATACTGATTCTTCAATGATCATGCTATTAGTCCCATAACTGTCTCCAAGCCTACCCCTTACACATTCGACCTCGGTCATCTGCTTGCGAACGACCCCAACCCTCTCGAGATCTCCCGCTCCGAACCCTTGGACGTCAGTCTCAAGGCCACAGCCCGGGATGGCACCCAGTCTCTTCTCAACCAGCTCCTGACCACCTGCCCCATTACCTCCTCCCAACAGGGTGTCCTCCTAACTCTCCCACCTCCCACCACCGTTCTCCCTCGCTTCAAGCCCCTTCCCACCCCCAAGCCCCCGACCAAGTGGGAGCTGTTCGCCCGCAAGAAGGGTATTGGCAAATACAGCAGCAGGCCTGGTGCGGCATTGGCTGACAAGGAGCGTCGCAAGAAGTTGGTGTACGATGAGGAGAAGGGCGAGTGGGTTCCTCGCTGGGGTTACAAGGGCAAGAACAAGTCCGATGATGAATGGCTTGTTGAGGTGAACGAGAAGGATTGGAAGAAGGAAGAAGAAGCGGCCGCTAAGGGAAGCTCGATCCGTGGACTATCTCGCGCCGAACGCAAAGACAGGATACGCCGCAACGAGAGGAAAATGAGAGCGAATGAGCGCAAGAGCCGGAAGTCGGGTGGTGGTTAAAAACAAAAACTGATGATGTGTAATATGTGCTGTGTGTGTCGTTGTTGTTGTGTCTGATAACGATTTTTGTCAAGAGTCGAGGCCGTATAACAAGTTTTTGCGGATCTTGCCTTGGTGTTAATTTTTCGTTCTTTCACCTGGGGCTCAAATGTTACGGCGTTCGGTTTGGAGTCGCTGGGCTTGGATGTCTGTCAATGTTGCCTTTGGTTTGGGACTTGTTCGTCTCGCCGGGCTCGAAAAGCAATATCACATTTTACTACCCCCTTTAAGTAAATGTCTTATCTCTCGATCTTCTATGGGGTCCGCACCATAATTGGGGATACTACTTGACTTCATCTATACTACTGTTTCGCTTGTAGATACGCCTCTATATTTTCCAAATACCAATAGACCACCCAGCCTGCCAATACTCATTTCAATTTCTCTTCAAATTGATGCATCGCCTGTCATTGGTCTATCTTACAGCTATGTACCAACATACGCCAAAGAAATGAGAAATAGTACAAAGCAAGGACCAAAAAAGTGTCATGAGTCGCCAAATTCGGGGGGTAAGCACCGTAACACAGCTCGAGTGGGGAATCAATAGATGGATAAGCCTGTAGGAAATGAGATAAGGAAAGAACATGCATATGATGATTCCAAAAGAACAAGAAAAGGCTATAAAGGTGATATGTCGCCAACGGTGCCAAGAAGTGGAAATGTGATTGAGCAACGACGGAAAGAGAAGACGAAGAGAAAGATTTGTACAACAAAAGTCAAAGCGTCATGTAGGCCTGAACTGAACCGACTCCAAGGCGCCAGGCATGCAGTCTGATGGTGGCCCGATATAGCTGGAAAATCGTCGCGGAACTAAAACTGGTGAAGGCATAAAGATGAAAAGCTAAAAGTTCATGTATGCGCCAACGTCTAGAGCAAGAGAATGGGAAATGGTGTAGGAGCCGGATCACAATCGAAAGGTATAATCTCACTCATCATGCACGACCTGCGGATCCAGTCCCAGGCCCTACACATGGTGAAGTAGAAATTCGAGCATGTAGGCCAGCCTATTCGGGCAAGGAAATGGGATGTTGGTGGATACAGCGTATTGGAATATCGCTGGTGAAAGCTCTATATGAAATGTTGTTTAAATCTGGATCGGGGAAAGTGGGGGCCCGAGTTCGGGAAGCTGTGATATGCTTCTCGTATGCGAGGTCTCAATGTTCTTTGGTCTCTGCTTGCGGTTCTTCGGTACTTCGGGACGCGGTGGCTCTTCTTCCTGTCCAGGTTGGCTGCTACCGGAAGAGACAGCCCTCTCGTGGCTTTCTTGAGCTTGATGAGGTTGCTGGTGTTGCTGAGGTTGTTGGACCTGCTGACAATCGTGGACTGCTTCATCCTTCTCCTGGGCCGCCTTTTCCTTTTCATCCATTTCCTTCTCAATTTGAAGATATTCTTTCTCTGTCCAGCAGCCTTGCCAGCAGTTCTTCCAGTCGCAGACCAGGAAGTGGAAGCAGAATGCATCAATCTTCATGCAAGGCTGGAAGCAAATGCAAAGGTTGCGGTAGTCCATTTTGTTCTGGTCGACATAGGAGTGCAGGAGGTTTAGGTGACATGTGATGGCGAAAAGAAGGTAATAGTTATAAGGAGGTAATTTGGAAAGTTCATCTTTCAGCATTTGTGGCGCGGTCGTTGCACCCTCGCATTTCTCAGCGATTAAGGCTTGTGTCTCCTTGGGGAAGAGCTCATCTGGCAACTCACGAAGCCAGGCTTTGAACATCGAGCCAATAGTGTTAATATCATAGAGGTCTGGCACATCGAAAAGGTTGATGTCAAGTTCTGAATGGAAACGTCAGACTCGATCAGTAAGAACCAGAGTTAGCAAAAGAGAGGTACCTGTATCGAAACGTCTTTGCCAGTGTTTCACCTCTTTCCCACTTCCCGGGACTCGATAGAGTCCCTCTTCTTCACATCCCTTGAAATTGAGGTAGCTAGCACGTCGTTAGCACATCCAATCCAACATGCAGGTTCATGATATTGCTTACTCGACGCAGCGGTAAGGCAGAGCAGGCATCCAGAACTCGGTTTTGTCTCTACAATCTTCAAGTCGCTTTGCGATACGAGTCCGCCTTGCCTGTTGTATGAGTGGCAGATTGATGACTGAGCAAACATAGTTGTCGTCATTCACGAGCTCCCGCTCGTTTGTGCTCCCGCTCCTGGTAATCTTGCCGAAGAAACCCTTCCCAGCCTTGCCGATACGATCAGCGGCACCACTTGACTGTTGTTTGAGGTTATTGAATAGCGCAGCGGATGCGCCTGACACCTGGCTTAGTGAGGCGGACGGAACCATTGATCCAGCATAGTATTTATCTTTACGCATGTGGCCGTTATGATATTCTGTGGGTCGGTCGGCGGGATAACTGCGAGCCGTAGGATTCCCAGCCGTCCTGATATTGCGCTCATGACGTGGGGCAGTCTTCGGGGGCTCTTGCACCTCCCTCCGGGTGTTTTCTTCCAGCCTCATCAGGCTAGTGGATGGGCGCCGATGTGCTATCCTGCTCATAGACGAGTCGTCCAGCCTGATCGAGCGGGAGCGAGAGAGAAGGTTTGCGAAGCGTGGCTTGTTCTTCTTGGCTAGATTGAAGGCGTCCGACTCCGTACCCACCTTCTTCACCTCTGCTGGTTGGGGACACTTCTCCTCAGCACGATCACCACCTATTGAATGGACTTGTCAGCGCACGAGACAGATGTATGGCTCGACGTATTCACTTACGATTCTCTTCTTGAGCTGCCCGCTCAATAGCGCCTGGCAGATCAGGAGTTGATTCGTAGAGTTTTGTTGAGATCTGAGTCTTGCGATCTCTGGAACTACCGCGGCTCTTGGGCTTTTCGCCCGAATTCCCTGAGCTATCCGAACGTTGGGCCCTATGTGATGACTTTGGTGCTTTGAGGTTCGCAAAGAAAGAGCGTGACTGATCACGCGTGTGCTTAGGGGTGTCTTTCGGGGAAGGAGGATACTGGGGTATAGCCGTGATACCCGGAGTAGCTGGTTCCGCAGGGGCAATACTCGGAGAGGTTGCTGGGAACGTAGGGCTACTCGACTTGCTGTTTGAATCTTGTGTGACGGGTCTGATAGTGGCCCCTTTGAAAAAGGGCGAGCTCGATGATGACTTGGGGGAACGGGGTGTCAGGGGACTTGGCCCCTCGGAGCTTTGGGCACCGGGCGTCAGTGGAGACGAGATCTTCGCATCCGCCTGCAGAGTGGAAGTGCTAAGATCTAAATTCGGAACAGTGGACTGTCTCGATGGCATCTTAGGTGTCAATCGCGGGTCAGCAGGTGACCCTGAAAAGTTGAACCGGGAACGCGGTCTGGGCTGAGGAAAAATAATAGTACGTCAAGGATCGGCTGCGACACCAAGTGGACGATGAAAAAGGACCTAGGGGCGAAAACAGGTTAGCATCCATAAGGTCTCATGGATGGTGCTAAATTTGGATATGATCCGGCTCCCGGCAAAGCTCCTGATTCTAGAACTTACTCCTTTTCAAAGAGAGAGCCACGAAGAATTGGTCTCGGGGAGCATAAATATCCTAGCGCTCCCTTGGCAAAAGAAATGCGAATACCCGATATTTGAGTGGTGTATGGATATTGATAAGGAAATTATTGGAACCGGACCAGCCTTGGCCAATATTTCCGGATATGTTGGACTCGCGGAGCACAGGTGAAGGGGGCTGTTGCTTTTCTGCAAGGATATGTCAGGGCGATGGTTCTAATGTAGAGTCGCATAGTGGTTAGCTAGATGGAAGTTCAAGACGCGTTCCTGAGAGGATCACGGCAGGGGAGACGGTGCACTGGATACAGAATCATGGGTAGGGATCTGTTGGATAAAGCTACTACACCCCAGGAAAGAGCATTGCAACACCATCCCCCTAAGAATAGCAAGCAGTCTCAGGGCAAATGAGCTCTCTTGAGGGGAGCAGATAGTGAACAGTCGATTAAGAGTTCGACTCGAATAAGAGAAAAAAAAATAAAGTCACCACACACATACCAGATTGCGCCGCCCCTCATGTTAGATTGAGACTCCCCCTCCGGTTGTTACTTATCCCCTCCCACGACAATTTCGACCGAACAGCGATGTGAACTGTTGCTCCTGGTGATTTAAATGTGGTGATAGAGGTGGTCAAAAAAATAGACGCTCGCCTAAGATTCTCGATTTGTGTGTCTGAGCGGTGTTGAAGAGGGCGGTCGGCGTACCAAGGGGACGAGTAGGTGTCGGCGAATTTGCTAGCTAATCCCAAAGCGACAATGAAGATGCTAAAAAAGAATAAAAATAAAGGGAACAGGAACAGGGACAGGGACGAACAAAGAATTTGCGTCCGCTTGACGGGTGTCCCGAAGAAGTGGTAATAGCGATCAAAGAAACACGAGAGCGCGAGTCCGCACGGTGTTGGAGGTGTTCAGACTTGAATGTCGCAGCGACGACACATTCCTGGATGGTGTTATGCAAGCGCGGCTGTGTGTCAGGCTAAGAAGCCTCCGTATTTTTTTAAGGGGGGAGTCGGTAGTGGAGATAGCGTTGCAAGGCTCCGGAATAGTTACTGGGTGGCTTCAGAGTGCTTATGGGATTATGGAAAGCCTATCGTTTTAGTGCACAGACAACCAGATAAGTGGCAGGTGGATGGATGCCCTTGGATTTTTGGGAAGGGAATAAAATAATAGTAATGAGAAAAAAAAAAAAAGATAGTGGATAATGTCTGTAATTCAAACAGGTAAGGACGGTTTAGCATGTTACTCCCTTCCTAGAGAATGAATGCTGGAAGAGGTTCTCTTACTGATCGATAGTAGTTTCAAACTTCAAGTCAAGAGCCAGATATTGGTAGGCAATAGGAAAAAAAAAAAAAAAAAGGCAATAATAATAATGTTAATAATAATAGTAATAATAATCCAAGAAAAATATCAAGTGAAGAATTGATGAAGCACCCTAAACCAAATTTGAGGGATAGAGGTTAAAAAGGGAAAGGAACTCGTGGCTGGTACCAGGAGGATGACGTTGGTCCAACCCACGTATTGATGGGTTAGTATCTGCAATAGTCACCGAAATACCCAAGTACCTTACAGCTGGGGGAAGAGAGGGGGAGCAAACTGGAAAGGTTAAAAACTTCCCATGGGGGAGAAAATCGAGAGGCTGTCCGAAAGGAAAGTCAAATCCACATTCAAAAAATTAACTCTTGACTACAAAGTATATTGTTGCTATAGAATTGCTATATAATTCGCAACTATCCATCACTATCGAAAAGAAAGACAAGAGGCCAAAGAAGGGAGAGAAAAATAGTTTTTGGAAGATTCAGTAAATTTCGTTGTGTAGGTAGACTACACTTTGTGTACATAGTTAGTTATCTTTCGTGCCTGTCGGTTGGTTGCCCCTGAACACGCTACTGCGCAATAACCCTTGTGATGATGGCAACCCCGGGGCTGCAATGGCCACCTCCTGCGTGGACGGAGTACAGGCCATTGGGATATACACCGAAAGATCGGAAGGACCCATCCAAACACTCGAAGCGGTGACAATGACTGGCCAGAAAAGATCGGGTCTGGCAGTTGGTGCCTTGGGCGGGATGATGCATGCCCGGTCTAAGAGACAGCTATTGCGACCGTGGATTGGTCAACCAAGGTCCTGTGGACGGGGCTTCAGTTGCAGAGCCAAATCAGAAGCACCCGGGAGACACGAGTACCTGACGCGGAGGCCCATCACAGCATTTGAGTGGCACCTTATCTGGCTGCTTAGTATGCAGTAGTCCAAGAGCCTTTTGGCACTAAAAGTATTCTGTCGGCTCCGCAGACGGCCGCCATTGTTGCGTGGGTTATTCCCGAAGTCTTTATGGTGAGAAAAAAAAATATAAATTAAATGAGTTGTTTGTTCACAAATTGTTTGGTTGTATAGATCTAAAAAGAATGTCTAATTATTGAACCTCCCAGCCAGTGGTCTGATTCTTGAAGCTGTATTGGTGGTCAACCATGGTTCAGTCAAGACAAATTTGATACAGTCAGTGGGGATGATAGGAAAAAGAGGAATTAATGCGTAGTCGGTGCCTGGATAGTGTACCCCGTACCCAGGTACTACTGGCTTCCTAGGCACCGTTGAACGAATAATAGTTATGGTTATCATTGTCTTATTGCCCCGCTTTACCAATGACATTTATAGCACCAAATGTCTACACTTTCTGGTTATGCCTCTTATTATGCACGGTACATTCCGGATGGCTAAATATAGACAAGGGGAAGAAAAAAGAAAGCAAGAGAGCCCTAGAGCAGGTTTACGACCCTGGAACTGTCATTTTGAAAAAAATGCGCTCCTTTTGGTAAGCAATGCTGGACTGAAAACAAAACATACTTTGGCGCTTCCATGTGTGAAGTATATTCCGGTAATTCCACGGGGCATCATACGCTGCCACCACAAAGAGCACGCGGCTTTTCACCTCTGGTGGTCTAGCGCTTCGTTGCAGTGGTGGAGAAATCACCGCAACCCTTCCGGTTAGCAAAGGTAGCGTGCTCCCCCTACCGCTTCAGGACTCCAGGACAATCTGCTGCTTTTGACATAGGATAAATGGGACTAATCATCAATGTGGACTGCTGAGGGTCCTGCACCTCATGGCACTTATGCGAAAGCGTTTTGGGCGTTTCCCGTTTAGCAATTTCTGCCTGGAGGCTAGATAATCTACTAAGATATATACATAGCAGTATCTAGTTTAGTAGACGGCACAATTACACGTGGGACAATGAAAGACTCATATGACTACTACGCCATACCGAGTCAATAGCCCGGCACTACGTAATTATGCCTAGCTAGTACAATCGGAGTAGAGAAGACAGAACCCACATTCCCCATTCATACCTGCAGTTCTGCACCTGGTGCTCATCATCACACAAGGATCCTCTCTTACGCTCGGTAGAAACCTTCGATACTACCTGCCTACCTTGGACTTACATGCATTTGACAAATTTGATTGACATTGCCACCAACTTACTTTGTACTTAGACCAAAGTGGGACGCGGGAGCCCGGCCTCCATGGCATCGGCACAAGGGCCAGCCACCGAACATTTCAGAGCGAGCAGGGACCCAGGGGCAAGCAGTCTTTGGCGCTCAGGGGTTTCACACCGCTGTCCGTGGGAGACGGCGATCCTGCCCTAAACGCCAGGCTGAAACAATGGGCCCCGCTTTTTGGCCCAGCGGCTTTCCCGGTGGCGCTTGATCACGTGATGGTCAGCCCTCCCTCTCGTCACCAACCGCCCTCCACCACACACACACTTTTTCCCCGAAGCTTGCTTTTCCCCCCCCTCTCCCAGCTTCCCAAGTCGTCCACGACTAACCTCCCAAGACACCTCATACTAACCTCACCTGCAGTGAGGGGGACACGTGCAGCGGTTGCCTCTCTTGACGACCCTGTGTTTGCCACCCCCAAAGCTTCGCGTCTGCTTCTCCGCCTTGATCGCCCCTGTGTTGGCAGGCACAAGCTTCGTGGCCTTGGTCGGGACAGCGCATAAGGCTACCTTTCTAGCGCGAGCAGGAAGCTCTTGACTAGTCCGAAGCTCAACCACTAATCACACTGCTTTCAGCAATCCGATCACAAAAATGTCCTTAGTTTCGGGTCCTGGTAGGGCTGCTGGGACTGAATCCAACTTGAACCTTAGTGTCGAAAGACATGTGGATTACATCAAGAACTTGGACAGCGTGCGTCATTCTTACTATAACCATGGTTCTTCTCTTCATGATGGGGAAGATGGTTGACAGGTGATGCTAGAGGAGGGATGAGCTAGAATATTGGCTTACAGAACATCTTCGCCTGAATGGGGTGTATTGGGGCTTGACAGCTCTACATCTCCTTGGCCGTCCCGATGTCCTTCCTCGTGAAGATACCATTGACTTCGTTCTCTCGTGTCAACGGGAGAATGGAGGCTTCGGAGCAGCTCCGGGCCATGATGCACACATGCTGTACACAGTGTCGGCAGTGCAAATTCTCGTAACCCTAGACGCGGTGGATGAGCTGGAGAAGCGCGGTCTAGGAGGAAAAGAGAAGGTTGGCTCGTTCATCGCAGGGCTACAGGACAAAGACACTGGCGCTTTCATGGGTGATGAATGGGGTGAGAGAGATACACGCTTTCTGTATGGCGCGTTCAATGCACTCTCCCTTCTCGGGCTTCTTCACACAGTTGATGTACCCAAGGCCATTTCCTATGTCCAGCAGTGTGAGAACTTAGACGGTGGCTATGGCATCCAACCTGGAGCTGAGTCACATGCCGGTCAAATCTTCACTTGCGTAGGAGCTCTGGCAATCGCCGGACGACTGGACTTGGTAAACAAGGACCGTCTTGGGGGCTGGCTCAGCGAAAGACAGGTTGAAAATGGTGGTCTGAACGGAAGGCCCGAGAAACTGCCCGATGCATGCTATAGCTGGTGGGTTGGTGCGAGCTTGGCTATGATCGACAAACTCCACTGGATCGATGGTGGCAAGCTCTCTGCTTTCATCTTGCGCTGTCAGGTATGTTATCCCTTTCGCCATGGCATTACCGGCATGGCACTGACGCAGTTCAGGATTCGGAGGCTGGGGGCATCGGAGACAGACCAGGCAGCATGGTTGATGTGTTTCACACCCATTTTGCCATCGCTGGTTTGAGTCTGTTGAAGTTCAATGGCATCCAAGAAGTAGATCCAGTCTAGTGAGTTATGCAACCTGCGCAACGCATTAGTGCGGATAGCTAATTTTTTCGTTTAGTTGTATGCCGAAGGCAATTACACAGAAATATCTGCAACGGTAATCTTTGGCTGTATGATGACATCACCTCTTGAGTACTTTTTCTTGACGTAGGCCTCACCTCCTGCAATCTAATAACCCGTTCTTCTTTTTCTCCATGGATTATGGGATACAAGGCAGGAGAAGAGTGATTGGCACTGTGACTTATTTCCGCTTCATACCCCCTCACAATAGCCTTACGGAAAGGCTGTTAAGACACAGTGGCACATGAACCGTAATTATAGTCAAGATATACAGTAGCTAATTAATCAACCTGGAAGATGAATGAAATTTGTTGTATCCTTGGAGTTGATTGATAAAGTTTCGAAGTGATTAGTGTCTGCATCGTAGCCATAACTCAGCCAATGCTTCTTTAGAATGCCAGATGCTAAACGCATGCCGTCCGTTTCGTCTGCAACCGCAAAAAGGCCATGGCCATCATAACATTTACTAGCCATGTAACAAACGCTTATCTTTACTACGACGTTGGTCGATTTGTGGTCTTTTCCTTGCTGCTAGTTGATTATACGGATCAGAACACACGCTTTCAAAAATCCCAGTAGTAAAGCTCGGGCTCCCAGAACGACCAAGATATATATATATAGTGTCAGTACTTAGTGGTAGTGTATAGTAGTTCGACAAACGGTACTAACACTCTACTACTAGTAACTTAGTAGTTGTTGGCTCATCTGGTAATCCAGTCTTCAGACGTTCTAGTTTATAGAATATAGATAGGGTGTGAAATTGGCTTACGGTAATGCCTCTCACACTAGTTGCACCGAAATGATGAATTGTGTGATTGATAATCGGACTGTGTATCATACATAGATACGTTTCCCTTGTCTATGCTGAAGTATTGTGTTCTCACCTACCCACATAAACGAAACTACTGTAGTGAATACTACAACGTATTGCATTTATTTTGTATTGGCGTCGCCCATTGAGATCCCCCAAATAGAGGTCTTGCAATTGGTAAGTATGAGTGTCAATTATGATCAATCGATTGGCCTACTGTATTTGCTACCCTGTCTGTATTGATACCTGCCTGCCTGGAGAAAGCTGGTCTTGGTAGCTCTTTCTCTAATTGTGAAATATAACAGTGAGAAAGTCAGCCGGGTAGGGCCCCCATCTTCCTGTAACGCCTTTTCTTCTAGAGCTTCTCATTCTTTCCTTCCGAGGCCGGCTTATCACATCTGTTGTTGATAGAAACTTCTCCTTGTTGTTTCCTTCGATATCTTTTCCAAAATCAGGAGCCGGTCCCTATTACACCACTTTCCGAAATGGATGCAGCTGCACTTTTGTGCAATATCTGCCCCAAGCGGCCCACTTTCAGCGATGTATCGCACTTGCTGACCCATATCTCGTCAAAGGCCCACTTGTCCCATTATTTTAAACTTCAAGTACGCAGTCATCAAGAGCAACAAGCAGTAGCCTTGCTACATGAATATGACAGATGGTATAAGAGAAACAACTTGGCCAAGTTGCTTTCGGATCGGATGTCCTCGAAAGAAGCCCGCAAGAAAAAGATACACGAGAAGTCATATACGGAGAGCGAGACTGATAATGCTACAGTGCCAGTATATACTGCAAGTCCTTCATTCCAGAACCCACTGCCTGATTATCTGGACCCGCGTCTCTCTCGTTCGTATGTCATTGCGGAACCTGAGACTGAGAATGCGAGCACGCCATACTCTTCAGCCAATGCCGCTTCTAGTGACCCGTCTTATAATCTCACGCATACTTACCCTGGACTGGAAGACCACTCGCTAGCTCCAGTAACCTCACCGACAAAGACATCACAGGCTCTATGCAGCCCCTGGAAACAAGAGCCACTGCAAAGGGTGGAGGACGAGGACATCCCAGTGCAAACCGCATTGTACTGGGCAAAGGCATCGGACAACGAAGCAGACGTGGCTCCTCAGCCATCCGACCAATACAGCTGCGATCCATTTGTCGACGATAATGAAACTGACAGCATTTATTTTCGCACCATGAATGAGATGGAAAAGGAAAGAGCAGATGAGATAGCCAGACTGAAGGGTGTGCTGTGGCCTGGTATGGATATATTTGACTCGGCTACCGAACAAATGAGACGCAGACGAAATCAGAAGAAGGACGAAAGCATCTTGAAGCTCATGGAAAAGACGTCCCTTTGTGTGGAGCCCACAGAGCTTGTCTTTTCCCCTACCGGAATTTTACGGAAGCAGCGTGTGATCTCAGGTAATTTTGAGGACAGCAGCCCCCTCAAAGGGGAGACGCCCATTCCCAAACGTCGATTAAATCGCCCCAAAAGGGTCCTCTCTCAAGTTGATCCTAACATCCAACGTGGGCAAAGTAGGAAACGAACCAGAAGGACTACCAAACGCATTGAGAAACTGGTGGATAGAGATACAAGAGGAAGAGATACACAAATCCCCAAGGGATCCCTAGGTCCTCAGCGGCTGCTTCAATATGGCAGTCGCGGGATGACATGGACGAATTTGAATTATCCTTCAATGGGACAAAGCTAAAACCTCGCACTGGATTTACCGTCTTTCATGATAGACCAAGTCAGTGTAATGCTGGTTCTACGGATCATAATCATGGCGATGATGGAACTCATGCTGTGGCATCGGCTCCCTCTCATCCTCTATACCTCCTCAAGGATTTCACACTTCATCATGATGCTTATCCACTATCACCTGGTGACCGATATCCTTCAGTGGCTGGAAGAGCGCATGATTTGACCATGGACAAGGAGAACATCGAACCCCTCCTGGATGTTCGTGGCCGCATTGACCCTCTAATGGACTGGCAATCCCCTTCCCTCACGGAGCATTTGACCAGCGGAATCTGTTACCCACCGCAGTACTTCTTTGGAGATTCTCGACCTGTCGGCTTCAGATCGTTCAATAACCAGGAAAGCCCCACTGGATACTCGTTCAACCCTTTGGCCCTTTCACTCTCTGGGTTGCCCGCTGACGATGGTCCAGTGTATACTCCAAAACCAGAACTTAGATCGAACAACCAGTGTGAACCACAGCTTGGCTCACCCGAGTCAACAATTTCAGAAGTTGATGAAAGCGAGTTTGGCCGACTTTACCTGGACGGGAGCTCGTTCTAAGTTCTGGTCCTCGCCTGTGTGGCCTGAGTTGAGTTCGGTTTCTGCGGGTCGAACTATATCTTCATATGGCCCTTGCACAATCTTAGTCGACTTCGGAACCAAAAATGACATGGCTTTGTAGCTTTCTTAGGATTGTCTAATATACAAGCACTCCCGTTACGTGGTATGAATACTTGGAGGGTGAGTACTGCATGGAGGTCAAACTCAATGGTAGCCGCTATACATTGACTGTCAGACGACGCCCCTTGACACTGTATACTAGTATGTTATAATGTATAATAACTCCAACAACATCATGCTTACACCAAGAGAAAGACAGGGGAACGAGGAGAGAGAAAGTGTATACTCCGTCTAGAAAGAAGTCTCGATGCCTCGAAGTAGTTCAGTGGTCGATTCTGCCTCAGGCATAAAGATTATATCATCTTCAAGTGCAATTAAGGGAACTACGCGTGACGGGCGTGACGGAGCTCCTCCACGCGTCAAGGTCCCCGACCCGCGGATACTCATTTGACGCTAAGGCGAATAATTTGGCTCCGGATACCGTTTGATGCGATTTGATTGATGTCTGACATATGAATACTGAGGTCCTAGGTTGTTATCGGACTCTAGGGCGCGACCAGTAGGCGCTACCGCCACCGCGAATCCTTTCCCCTCGGTGTTGCTAAGATCATTTGCCTCGGCGACTGTCAGTGGTTTCGATCACAAAGAGAAAATGCCTCTTCCCTCATCACAGACTTCTTCGTCACCGGGAGTGAAGCGGAAGCAGTCAACCCTCGCGAGCTTCTTCACGAAGAAACCACAAACAGCTCAACCTGCTCCAGTCAATGTCGTTGAAGAGAAAAACCCAGCCACAACCCCCGAGGAAGCGGACAATAAGGAACGAGCGCCAAAGAAAGATACCGCCCTGACCGATGATGAGGAGGATGACATAGTGGCACCGGCCCCTAAAAGAGCTAGAACAAACGGCCTTCACCCCACAAGCAAAGAAGAGGTTCCGAAGTCAACATCCACTACAGAGCGACCACCGGCGTTGACTAGTAGCCAGAGGACTGAGATATTCAAATTCAGCAGCTCACCTGCGGTGAACACTGCAGCGGAAGTGCCGCAGGCGGCAGGTGAACTTGAGGCTAGACAAAGACAGAAGGAGAGAGAAGCGTTACACCAGAAGTTCGTTCGGAAATTGGGTGGTGCGGACTGTCTCATTGGCATTGGTAGAAATGCTATCAGCGAAGCTACACCCGAGGAGGGGGCTGAGGCTGAAGATGAGGAGGAAGCAGCACCACCTCCTCCTGCCAAGGGCAAAGCTGCTGCAAAGAAAGGTGGAAGCAAGCTCACTCCAATGGAGAAGCAGGTCATCGACATCAAGCGCAAGCATATGGATACTGTCCTAGTAGTTGAAGTCGGCTACAAGTTCCGATTCTTTGGTGAAGATGCGAGGGTCGCCGCAAAGGAGTTGTCTATAGTCTGTATCCCTGGAAAACTAAGATTTGACGAACGTGAGTATGGTTCTGTCGCCTCCTTTCCATCTCCTACTTCATTAGTGAATCGTGCCTAACGTAGGTCTTGTCGATTCCAGATCCTTCTGAAGCACACCTCGATCGTTTCGCCTCCGCTAGCATACCGGTTCACAGATTACACGTTCATGTAAAGCGCCTCGTTGCCGCAGGTCATAAGGTCGGCGTGGTGAGACAAATCGAGACTGCTGCTCTGAAAGCAGCGGGCGATAACCGCAATGCGCCTTTCGTGCGCAAACTCACAAACTTGTACACCAAGGGTACCTATATTGACGATGCGGAAGGCTTAGAAGGGCCTATGCCTGCAGCATCTGGTGGCGCCTCACCAGCAACCGGCTACTTGCTGTGCATTACCGAGACAAATGCAAAGGGCTGGGGCAATGATGAGAAGGTTCAAGTGGGAATTGTTGCTGTCCAGCCGGCTACAGGAGATATTGTTTATGACGACTTCGAAGACGGGTTCATGAGGAGTGAAATCGAAACGAGGTTGCTGCATATTGCACCCTGCGAGCTTTTGATTGTTGGCGAGCTTTCCAAGGCTACGGAAAAGCTCGTCCAGCATCTCTCCGGCAGCAAGTTGAACGTCTTCGGGGACAAGACCCGCGTGGAAAGAGTGCCTAAGTCGAAGACTGCCGCCGCGGAGTCACACAGCCATGTCTCCAGCTTTTATGCAGGAAAGATGAAGACGGCCAGTGCCGCAGATGATGCACAGGCGAGTAGCCTACTTCAGAAGGTGCTCAATCTACCAGAACAAGTGACTATTTGCCTTTCGTCCATGATTGAGCACATGAAAGAATACGGCTTGGAATATGTTTTCGAGTTGACCAAATACTTCCAACACTTTTCTTCCAGATCACACATGCTTCTGAATGGGAACACTCTGATGAGCCTCGAGATCTACCAAAATCAAACGGACCATACGACTAAGGGCAGTCTCTTCTGGACGCTTGATCGGACACAAACGCGATTTGGACAGCGCATGCTCCGGAAATGGGTAGGACGTCCTCTGCTGGATAAGTCGAGGCTGGAAGAGAGGGTGAACGCCGTTGAAGAGCTGAAAAATCCAGAAAAGACGGTAATGGTAGAGCGGCTCAAGGGGTTGCTTGGAAAGGTTAAGAGCGACTTGGAAAAGAGCTTGATCCGGATCTATTACGGCAAGGTTAGTTCTTCGTCTCTACCTTTTTATCACCTGAATAAAGACTAACAAGACAACCAGTGTACTCGACCGGAACTCCTCACCGTTTTGCAGACGATGCAAATGATTGCGCAAGAATTCTCTGACGTGAAATCACCTGCGGATACCGGTTTTGCGTCTGCTGCCATTAATGAAGCGATCACTTGTCTCCCGACGATCCTGGAAGACGTTATAGCTTTTCTTGACAAGATTAATATGCATGCTGCGAAGAGTGATGATAAGTATACCTTCTTTCGCGAAACCGAAGAGACAGAAGATATCAGTGACCAAAAGCTCGGTATTGCAAGTGTTGAACACGAGCTAGAGGAGCATCGCTCTGTTGCTGGCCAGAAGCTCGGGAAGAAGACGGTCGAATACAAGTCTGTTGCGGGGATTGATTATTTAATTGAAGTCGAGAACAGCTCGGCTTCCATTAAACGTGTGCCGGCATCATGGGTGAAAGTGAGCGGCACCAAGAAAGTATCAAGGTTTCATACGCCGGAAGTCATTCAGCTCATGCGACAGCGTGACCAGCACAAAGAAGCGTTGGCCGCGGCGTGTGACAAGGCGTTCATATCCCTTCTCGCTGATATAGCAACTAAATACCAGCCCTTCCGGGATAGTGTGCAGGCATTGGCCACGCTTGACTGCTTGATAGCTCTGGCGACTATAGCTAGTCAACCGGGTTACGTGAAGCCCGAATATACGGACCATACGTGCATCCAAGTGGACCAGGGACGTCACCCCATGGTCGAGCAGTTACTGTTGGACAGTTATGTGCCAAACGACATCGACTTGGACAGCGACAAGACACGCGCTCTTCTGGTCACCGGACCCAACATGGGCGGAAAGTCCAGTTATGTACGACAAGTAGCGCTCATCGCCATCATGGGGCAAATAGGTTCTTATGTTCCCGCGCAGTCGGCCAAGCTTGGTATGTTGGACGCTGTATTCACACGCATGGGTGCTTTCGACAACATGCTAGCTGGCGAGTCTACCTTCATGGTCGAGCTTTCCGAGACTGCAGACATCCTCAAGCAAGCGACTCCACGATCACTTGTCATTCTAGATGAACTGGGCCGGGGCACGTCCACGCATGATGGCGTTGCAATCGCACAAGCTGTCCTTGACTACATGGTACGGTCGATCCGAAGCCTTACGCTCTTCATCACCCATTATCAACACCTCTCTTCAATGGTCCATACCTTTGCAGACCACGAACTACGCAACGTGCACATGCGGTTTACCGAATCAGGTACCGGAACAGACGAAGAGATCACATTCCTCTACGAAGTAGGTGAGGGCGTGGCACACCGCAGTTACGGGCTGAACGTCGCGCGGTTAGCAAACCTGCCAGGGCCATTGCTGGATCAAGCCCGGCAGAAGAGTAAAGAATTGGAGGAGAAAATCCGCCGGCGGAAACTGGCTGGTCTTGTGACGGCCGTCGGAGAGGTCATGGAAGGCACCAAGGATGGAAACATGATTGAGCGCCTCATCAGCAGCGCCGAGCAGCTGTAATAAGCATATTGATGTGTTGTTATTGCTTTCTATCGAGATGAGCGTATTGGCGACGTTGCATGATCAAAAGCGTTAGGCTTTAGACATAGATTTATGAGAAACATTCAAATGACTCGTGATTAGCGGGGTCTCCACAACGCTGTTTCATTCATCTTCTACATGTAGGGCAGTGATATCTACGATGGGTAACAGGCAGAATGGACATGAATCGTAAGCCAGGACTCACTCACGAGAGACCGACATAAGGTATAATGTCCCCGCAGACCTTATTCCTCTAATACCACCTAAGATCCCAACCTGAGCAAGTTCACACACAAAGGTCCATCCGATTCGAAGTGCATCGTGCATACAACACGAGGGAAGAAAAATTAAGAAGAAATAAGGGGGTAATCTAGACAGAGACTTGATGAATAGAAGATCACCTCGCGCCCGTGGGGATTTCAAATTTTTTTCCTTCGTTTTTTGTATCTCAGGTTGATAGCCTCGTTTTTTTTTTCTCTCTTGTTTCTCTCTCACTTTCGCTCTATATGAAGCCCAGTAGTAGGAAATATGAGTCTGGACACACAGGAATGATAAGAAGAAGAAAAACAACAAAAGAATTTTTTTTCTCAAACGAAGCCATAACAACCCGGATGCCGCATCAGCCCATAAGTTAAGATAGTTCTTTTTTTGCCTTCCCGACCAGACCTCCCAGAATAATCATTTCCAACGCAAGCAAGGGTACATAGCCTCGAGAGGGAAAAAGATGTTGACGAAAACTCGGAGTTGTTGGTAAAGGAAATTAACGGAGACGGCGGGCCTCGCGTTCGGACTCGAGCAGGCAGAGGATGTCGTCGACCTTGACTGTTTCCGACGAAGAGGGGCTTGGTTAGCTTGGTGTGCCATATATGGGTTGGGTTTAGAGATGATGGAGCGACTGGTTATTTGGTTGGTTGGCTGGATGGACTGAATGCGATATTTCCCCGTGGAGTTGAGATTATCCCGCGATACTGCTTGTCCCTCTATTTCCCCCTCTTCAGTTCCTGCGTGCGTTGTGTTGGGTTCGGAGATTCGTACTGTTCGCTGATAGAATCGTGGGTGTTGTTGACTTCCGATGCGTGCGCACATATTCTTTCACTCTTTGCCATTCTTCTCGCGGGATTCTTCTTTTCTTCGTTGGGGAAATGATTCGATTCGGTCCAACCAGCGCCACCACCATAGCCGTAGGAAATGTTTATCATCAATTGTAATCAGCGGAGAAATCGCATACCTGGGCCCTTGACGTTACGGATGATGCTGCGGGAAGTGTCGTCCATGAACTCGACGCGGACCTGGGTGACACCACCACGGGATCCTATAAAAGTGAAATGCTCGTTAGAATTTTCTCTCAGACCAAAGGTGCCATCCACACGCGGTCGCGGAAACTCCGCGATTTGTATATATCCCAGGCGAAAGGCATCGAAATTCGATAAATTGAGAAATTCACGACGTACCGGTACGGCCGAGGACACGGGTGACCTTGACGAGCTTAGCGGGCTGCTTGGCGGAATCCATCTTGGAGTTGGGCTTGACGACAGCGAAGGACTGACGGGATGCGTGAAGATGGCGTTTTGGGGGGGTTGGCAGAAGTTGAAGCCGTTCGTGAAAATCGAGGGATTTGCGGCTTGTGTGGGTTGGGTTTCTGTTTTGGGCTAAAGGCGAGGGCTCAGGGCTAATGTGGCCTGAGCCGTCAGGCAGTAAACTAAGGCTGGAATGTCAGGCCGGTGATGAGGTAATCGACTCCTCTTAAAGCCTGATATATGAGGCAGATATGTCAGGCAGCAAGGTAACCTTGAATCTTTGCTGGCCTGAGGTATCCGTGAAATGCGGGCCCCTCCGATGACGGGATTTCAGACTCTTTTCTGCGGCATCTTCTTCCTCTTCCGCTACGCTGCTTATTCCCCCCCTCTTCCTCTCCCTCCCTCTGATCTCTGCTTAACTCTTGTTTTTCTGTTCGCAATACCCTTTTTAGGATATTCGACAGTCCCTTGGATCTTGGATCTATCTCTGATTCTTCAATTGCTCCCTTTCTTTTCTTCCCTGTCATCTCCAATTGCTTGCCGGTTTACCCCGCGCCGTTGATCGTCAGTATGGATCTCGTCAACCAGTGAGTCAATTGCCCCGTAGCAAGCATTGAACCCCATGATCGCAGCATGCTATTCACTATATACATATATAATTACTAACATATCCCCTACAGCCTCGAAGGAAGACTGCTCTTCGCTGTCCCTAAAAGCAAGTTCCCGCCATGACTCACTCTCCCTGACCGCAAAAGCACCCCCAAATTGTCCAACCCACCAATGGCCCCTAAACCAAGCACCGGACTAACGCCTGTCTTGCCATGAACAGAGGGTCGTCTCCAACAAGCTACGCTGGACCTCCTGGCCGGCTGCGACATCCAGTTCCGTCGCGAAACCCGCCTGGACATCGCTCTGGTCAAGAACCTCCCCATCGCCCTCATCTTCCTTCCCGCGGCAGATATCCCCACCTTCGTCGGTGAAGGCCGTGTTGATCTCGGTATCACCGGTCGCGACCAGATCGCCGAACACGATGCGCTGCTGCCCCGCGGCGAAGTCTCCAACGTGGAGGAGGTCATGGACCTTGGCTTCGGCGGCTGCAAGCTCCAGGTGCAGGTCCCGGAGAAGGGCGACATCACCGAGGCCAAGCAGCTGATTGGTCGGAACATCGTCACCAGCTTCACTGCCCTCACTGAAGCGTTCTTTGCCAAGCTCGAGGGCAAGAGCGATGCTGACAAGAGCGAGCTCAGCACTAAGATCAAGTACGTCGGCGGCAGTGTTGAGGCTGCTTGCGCTCTGGGCGTTGCTGACGGCATCGTCGATCTTGTTGGTATGATCAATTATCCTCATTCTCAGCATTACCATGCCATTCAGCAACTAACCAAGCCCATAGAGTCCGGTGAGACCATGAAGGCCGCTGGTCTCAAGGCCATTGACACCGTCATCGAGACTATCTCCGTCCTGGTCAAGTCCAAGAAGACCCAGAACCCTCTGGTTGACCTGATCGCTTCCCGTATCCGCGGTGTCATCAGTAAGTTCCTACCATCTTCTTTCTTTATACTACCCGATCCGCGCCATTGACTCATCTCTTCTCTGCAGCCGCCCAAAAATACGTCCTGTGCCAGTACAACATCCCCCGCGGAGAACTGGCCACCGCCTCCAAGATCACCCCCGGCAAGCGCGCACCCACAGTGACCGCCCTGGAAGAAGACGGTTGGGTTGCTGTAAGCTCGATGGTCGAGAAGAAGAAGATCGCGACGGTCATGGACGACCTGACCAAGGTTGGCGCAACGGATATTCTGGTCCTGAACATCGCCAACTCGAGAACGGGTTAACGTGAAGCCGAAAATGTTATCTTGCTATATTTTATTTTTTTCTTCTTCTCTTCTTGTCATGTATAGGGCGCGCTTCTTCTCTTCTTTCGCATTATATTTTTTTTTTTTTCTTTTCTTATGATCAAAATATTATCGGCATTCTAGATGGTTAGACACACGGGTATAATCGAGTTCATGAGATACGGTTCATTGATCAGAGTTGATGTCTTTCTTTTTCCAGGGGTGTGATGTATAATCAGTGTGGGGATATAGTTATCTATTGATGTGATCGTATGAAAGGGTAGGTTGGTAGTAGATGACCTTGAGATTGGATGGTAAACTGAGAAAGAAGAAAGAAGAAAGAAGAAGAAGAAGAAGAAGAAGAAGAAGAAGAAGAAGAAGAAGAAGAAGAAGAAGAAGAAGAAGAAGAATAGAACCTATCAGATAAACTCAGACCCCGCACATTCATCCTGCAGGATCCCGAGGATCCATACTACTAATCCTCAATTACTATCAAGGATGAACATAGTATTGATTGGCATACCTGCATACCTCTCTTGGGACTGGCAGTTAGCGATGTGCTAAAGTTCAATGTTACTTGCTACTAGTAGTATCTCCATGAAGTAATTCACTGTCTTTATGCGCTGGATATCACCCACAGATTAGTTGCTAATGGTATTCAAAACATTCTTAGGGCCGCATGTTACTATCTACTTATCATATGCTCATAGTACTACTAACTGTGGACCGGCGATCTATATTATTAATACTACGTAGTAGTCATTATATTCGAAGAGAGTATAATTGAAAGGATCATCGTATCTATAGCAAAGAAGACAGCCGTGAACAACTCTTTGAATTGTCGATGATATAATATACAGACTAAATCTAGTCATGAAAATTGTATGAACATGGTGATGATAAGTGGGATGCTGTTCCAGCATCAAACCAATCGACATATCAATACACTGTTTGTATATACCATATGAATATTGTTTCATTATTCATTTCATAGTCGTCATAAACAGGATAATGCAGTGCGAACAATATTTATAATGATAGGGGTATCGTTTCTAGTATGCATAGGCGGGAATAACAGTGACCATATGTATGTATGCATGTTGTCTTGTTGGGAGGGGAGAGAGAAGAGAGAGGGTTTGAGGATGATGAATCATGATGGAGATGACTGTTGCTGGGAAGATTCACCTCCCAGTCCAACACCCTCTTGTCGGCCTCTGACTAACGCCAGAAGACACTGACCCACGCCTTCTAGGTCACCTAGAAGTCCGACGTGTCCACGGTCGCTCTTTACCAGACCACCCTTGATGATCCGGTATCCTGGCGGCAGCATGGCCGCGGAGGCAAGACAGACGCCGTCGCCGGCGGCGAACGCCAGATCGTCGTAGGCGTCTTGATATGGGATGCGCTCGCGCGATTCGACGCGGGCTCCGTAGACGGTGGGCACGGACTTGCCGTATAGCACGGCAAAGGGTGGATATTTGTTTTGAGACTGATGCGAGGAGTTGAATGCAAGCTCTTGCTTGAACCGAAGGACCTCTGCGAGAGTGCGCTCTAGATAGGTCACGGCTGTTGCACGGGGTATGGTCGTGGTTGTGGTAGCCTTGGTATTGGCTGAGCCCTTGAAATTGGGGGTTGGTCCTACCGCGCTCTCCAGGTTCGGGGCAGAGACCGGTGCAGATTTTCCGGTGGACTCATTGGAGGGGTTTGCTGTTTCATTAGGGTTCTGGGTGTGATTGTGTGATGCCTGCTCGCCATTGGCATCATCCGTCGAGGATAGACTATCCTTGCTGCCTAGGACAGTGGAGATGCGCTTCCCGAGAAGTGGCAGGTTGTCCTTGAAGCCTCTGCTGGTTGGAAGTGGAAGAGCCGGATTGATACAAGGAGAGAGCCGGTAGTCGTCCCACGCCTGAGCCGAGAAAAAGTCCACACGGTACTCTTCCTTCGTGCGCTTGTTAATGAAGCAGTGTCCGTCCTCGGGAAGGAGGGCGAAGCTGGTACGGAAGGTGAAGTTCACCTGAGCTGTAAGGACGCGAGAACTAAGCAGCACATCATCTCCATTACGGAGAGGGCCCAAGATGTTGACACAGTGCTGCGGGACGCCCGCATAGAGGACTCCTGCGAAGAGATCCGGTCGCTGGTTGACGGCATGCCGTGTGATGAGGCCGCCCAAACTGTGGGCGATAACATAGGCCCCGCGCTTTTCGCGGGGAACGTCTGGGGCGTTACAGGGCAAGCCCTCTAGAAACTTGACTAGTCGCTTAGCGAGCAAATGCGGACTCAACCGCCAGTCGTAGCCATAATCGTGGACGCGGAGATCCCCGTTGACGGCGTTCGGGCATTTTTTAAGGCGTTTCATCAGCCGGCGGCAGATATCGACTGGGCCAACATGGGACAACACGCCGGACGGAATGATGGTTTCTTCCATGCGTTCCTCATCTTCCGGGTTTAAGCCAACCTCCAGATCCACCTTGCGAAGATTCAGGCCGACTTTCATCGGAACCCACAGTTGGCGTTGCGGCGGTTTGGCGGACCGCAAGACTGAGCCCCGATAGCCTCCCAGAATAACGACATCACCGGTCATTTCGGCCATGGCCTCGGTCAAATTGGGGTACTGTGCACTAATACTGGTCCGCGGAGAACGGGCCCGAGGGGGAATCGAGTCATCACCCGGCATCTCCCGAGGAGAGGGCGGCTGCTCTGGCGTGGCGTAGGTGTGGCCCCTGCGATGAGTGACATCAGACAAAAAAGGCTTATAGCCCCAATCACTTCGAAAGTCTTGCAGGTGCAGCGTGGGCATACTAAGTAGCCGGCTGCTGGAATCCTGAAGGCTGTCCTTGATCGCCTTGAACCGGCTGTTGACTTGCGAATGGATATGCTCATAACGGGGACGCTGTTCGAGAGACGATGCGGTTGACGAAGCTCTCAGGTATAAAGACTGGTCTGAAGATGATCTCCGTAGAAGAGAAGGGGGGCGGCCTGTTGTGCTGGGCCTTCGCGCATAAGAGTGTCTAGCAGTCGTGGCGCCCCCGAGAGGATCGAGTTCAGATACTTGCTCCTCGGGACTATCTCTAGATTCTGGATCGGAGAACGATTTGCGCCGGGATTGCAGCGCTGATTCGTCTTTTTCTTGTTCCAATGCCAGCTTTGACACGGGCTTCAGGGTCTGACTGCGAGCCCGGACTTGCGATGACGATCCGGGTCGGAAGGAAAGCGATGACCGTTTAGTCAATAGATCTGGCAAGAACTTCTTCAGGCGTATATTGGTCAAGGAGTCGCCGGACCATGCCCTGGGTCGAAGGGGCAATCCGGATTTCAAGATCGAACGGGTGAAGCTGGTTCGCTGACCGTCTTTGGATCCCCGGGCGCTGTCACGCTGTGGCGCCGCCAAGTCCGCTGAAGAGGCTTGAGCATCACCCGGCTTAGCAGCCGGTTCTTCAGGCAAAGCTTCTGGTTCGTCGGTGATTTCAGATGCAAAAAGACCCTCCGGTTCCGGCGTATCCGGGATTGTGTCGAAGTAGCTACTTTGCCGTTCCATCATACGGGTTTTCTCTTCCGCAGGCGTGAGGCGCGCCTTCATACGGCTCTGGGCGCGACTCATGCTAACTCCGACGACTTCATTGGCTTCATCTTCGCGGACGGCGTCCGGGAGATTCGGATCCTCGCTGTCAGAACTCGAATTGACGGTGAAGGTGGGTGAGTGCTCCGCAGCTGGCGAGGAGTGTGCAATGACGGGGACCTGACCATTGGTCCCCGCCGGATGTGCAGGAATCGCCATGGTTAAGGTGGGCGGAGAGGGGAGAAAGAGGGGAGATTATGTATGACCCATGCAGGGAGAGAGTTTTAAAAATCGAGTGATGAGGGAAGATAAGAATAGATGGGAAGAGAAAGGCTGAGACAGACTAGAGAGGGCAGTTCAATTAGGATCCATCACATGTCAGAGTGGATAGATGGATGGGTTACTATGGAGTAGCGCACTAAACTAACGGTTTGAATGACTGCGATGGAGCATTCGTATTCGCGTTAGGGTGGCTCCATAGGGGGCGAGACTGGAGCGTGCTGGAGGCGATCAGCAAATCAAACGCATGGAGTCATGGCAATAATGGGGACGCGAGAGAGCGTGGACGGAACACAAGATAATAATAAAAGAAATGGACAGGTACCGTCGAAGGAAGGGAGAAAAGCAAAAGAGATTATAAACCATGACGAGCAGGGGAGGAGAAAAACGGAAAAACTAAGCAAGAGGGCCAAAAAAAGTCAGAGAAAAGAGAGGTTCCACCGCACAGCCTCCGGGCGTTCCGGAAGAAGCTTCCTGTCAGTCGCGGCGATTATTTCCAGCTTGCAAGCAATAGTGTAGGAGGAACTAGGAAAGGCTGTACTCGCGCGACGGGGTTAATCTTGGGATCCGACCATGGATAGTGCCGGATAGTTCAGCATAGCTGAGCGTTAGTGGGATGCTTGGCTGGAGGTTAAGTCAGTGGCTGATCACCAGGAGGATTTGCTGTCTCGGAGCGGAGCTGAGGTCAGCTTGGGCTTCACCAGTGGATTGGGAGGGTTGTGAGTTAGTTCATGAAGGGGAGAGATTCAGCAAGAGATTGGGTGGAGAGGCATCGGAGAGCATCGGCGAAGAGCCACACGGTCCATGGGTTCATTCTCGAGTTCCGTAGATGGCATTTTCGCATGTAAGATACTGCATACAATCAGACCATTGGCAAGATAATATTGCAATGAGATCATGCCCCAGGGCGATAGCATAACCATCGCATCATATCACCAAACAGAGTAAAAGTAGCTGCATATCGTCATAGTAAGTAGCTTGGTTCGGTTTTCTTCGGGCAGCCGAAGCAACAGAACAAATGAGAGAGAAGATGATTTGAGGGGTAAATCAAGAAGAAGATCAAGATGGAGCACCTCAGGCGCCAATCAGCTGACAGTCAGCGGGTTCATTGCCACATCACAACAGACAATTGTTCATTCACTACTGATCACTGTTCGACTGAGTACAGTCAGACAGTAGTCTGGACTGTGTCGTTTACTCTCTCCATCATTGGCCTACCACTTGTCCCTCGCTTGAATCTCAACCACAGCAAAGATTAGTACAACTATTTTCAGACTCCGCATGTCAGCACGCCGGAATGTGGCTATCCCGACGCTAACTGGCAATCCGTCCACTCATCCAACCCGGGTTGCTACGTGCTAATTTAGAGCCATCTTTTGGTCCAACCGACCTTTACGCAACAAAGGAAACTCCGCGTCATGGTACACATCATATTCATAATTTACACTAAAAAAAAACAACTAGCATATAGCGTATTCGTATCTCATTAACCAAAAAGAAAAAAAGGCGGGGTTCATTCCATCACAAGAGACCATGGTGTTCAAAATCACCGCTGGGTTCTGCTGAAGTTTCCCGATTGAATTTCTCGCTCCCCTTCTTCAGCAATGGCCGAGTTTTTGGCGGCCCCTTCTTCGTGCCCAAAGGCCTTGTCGACCGCAGCTGTGAGCCCGCCTCGCAATGACTCCCCCGCTCCCTGTGTTTCAGGTCAGCATCAGCCGCTCGTTAGTGTCGGATAGACCGCGGCCACTACGGATGAAGTGCCTGGCTAGACTCGACTGATGGTCGGGACTTACATGGATTCCTGCAGCTGCCGACTTCACACCGCCGCCAACAGATTCCCCGGCAGCTGCCGACTTGGATTGGGTGCCATATGTGCTACCGGATGATTGCGTCGGTTGGTATCCTACTCCGCTGGTGGTTTGCGATCCCGAGACCGGGGCCGTGTTGTAGCCAGCTGCGCTGGAGGCAGCGCCTCCAGCAGCAGTAGCCGCTTGGTTCGGTTGCTGGTAAGCGGCTCCGCCGGTGGTGTCGGTAGGTTCACGCATGGCTCCAGAGCCGGTTGCGTTGGTCGACTTGGAAGACATCTCGCCCGTCTTGCTGTTGACGCGGGGGTCGAGCTTATTAAGAAGGGAGGACTTGTGAGGGCCCGCGGTGGAGCTTTGAGGGTTCGATACGTTCTGGGTGGCCTGCGGATGTACGTTGCCGGTGGTTGTCGCGCCAGGGGCGTACTGAGCGCGGTTGTTCAGATCGCTATCGACGCGGGGATCGGCCTTGTTGGCTAGATCAGATTGATGCGGTCCGGCAGTGGTGCGCGCAGGGCCGGTATTTGCTTGACCGGTGCTGGTGATGCCGCTGCCAACTTGGGTCCCGGTTGCAGTAGTTGCGCTGGGGTTCTGGTTGGGTTCACCGAAGGTGGAAGAATAGTAGGGAGGTTGAGTACTGCTCATGGTGATATGTCAATTAATAGGGTTTGATCTGTTATATGTTAATGATGATGATGTTAGGTAGTGTTCGTTCCCCACTGTCTGTCTTCACATCTTATATAAGGAGGCGAGGGAGAGGGTTTGAAGCCTTCGACATCATCGATCAGCGGGTGACGTCAGGCAGGACATACCATGGTTCAGACGCAGCACCACTGCCATGGACGTGCATATTGTTCAGTGAATAACATGAGCAAATGAGACCAGTCGCAGGAATGTCACAACTGGAGATAATGGATGCTGATGATTCGATTCAACTTAAATGCAATGCCTACCAATATACTATCACGTGATACCTTATCGATAAGACTGCAGAACACAATAATGATGTCATGACATAAAAAAGTACAGCAGATGCAGAAACCAAAGACTAACAGTGAATACCTTAAAACCATACCCTGCAGAAGAAATATCACAAATTGTTAGGCAGACCGACTAATCAAAAAGCCAACACAATAACTCCGAGCCGAAGCCCATCTAGGAGAGAAGCTCAGCCGCGGGGACACGCGGAGGAGTTACTACAAACAGAGCGAAGGCCTAGTGTGGAAGCAAACGAGCCGAGGTTCACGACGGCTCAGGGTCAACGGCAAAAAGATGGACTTTCAGCAGCCCGATCCCCTTCACTTACTATTCATTCTACTGCCTTTACTTACTCTATACAGTTGATTCTTATTCAAACAGAGAGACAAGCAACCAAAATGACACTCACAAACCGCCAACTCATCTACGTCAAGGCCCCCACAGCCGCCATCGACCCATCCGTAACAAGCGGCACCTTCAACCTCAAGACCACCACGACCATCGACAGGAACAATGTCCCATCCGACAAAGTCCTCGTACGCATCCACTACCTAGCCCTCGAGCCCGCCATGCGCCAATGGCTCACAGCCAAACGGTCATACATTGCGCCCGTGAAAATCGGCAGCATCATGCGCGGCCAAAGCATCGCGCAGGTGCTCTCCGTCGGCAGCAGTCTGACATCCCAATACCAAGTCGGCGACTGGGTGATTGCCTACTCGGGATGGCAGGAATACGCTGTTCTAGGCGCCAAAGAAGCGCAGAAGATCTCCGTGCCGGAGGGGTGCAAGCCCACGGATGCGATGTCCGTGCTGGGGATGACTGGGCTAACGGCGTATTTCGGGATGATGGATGTGGGGAAGCCGAAGGCTGGCGATACGGTGGTTGTGTCTGGGGCGGCGGGCGCGACGGGGATGGTTGCGGGCCAGATTGCGAAGATTCAGGGAGCGAAGAGGGTGGTTGGGATTGCGGGGAGTAAGGATAAGTGTGAGTTTCTGGTAAGGGAGTTGGGGTTTGATGTGGCGATCAATTATAAGGATGAGGATTGGAAGAAGCAGTTGAAGGAGGCTACGCCGGAGTATATCGATGTTTACTTTGATAATGTGGGTGGAGATATCCTGGATGCATGCTTGGGTCGGGCGGCGCAGTTTGCTAGGTTCGTTATTTGTGGTGCTATTAGCCAGTATAATGTGGCGAAGCCGAAGGGACCGGCGAATATCATGCAGGTTATAGTAAGTATACCATCCCTTCCCAGATTTTCCTGCTATTTGCTTGGGAGTGCTAACGGTGACAGTCGCAACGAGTCAAAATGCAGGGCTACATCGTGTTCGACTACGCCAAGCAGTACCCGGATGCGTTGCAGGATCTGGCCAAGTGGTTGACGCAGGGCAAGATCAAGCGCAAGGAGCATATTGTGAAAGGGGGGTTGGAGTCGGCGCCGAAGAGTCTGGTGGATTTGTATAATGGAGTGAATACGGGCAAGATGATGGTGGAGGTGGTACCGGCGGAGGAGGGAATTAGAGCGAAGTTGTAGCCCTACCTACCACCTTAGTACTAGCATATACAATCGCAGTAACAGTTTATTTTAAATCAACAAAAGCCAATTAATTTCTCGGAATGGTTGCTAACTGCTAGCTGTTAACTCATTATGACCACTGCGGCTGCAACCATGGCTGGACCACCATTACTTCATACTCAACTCACGTCATACTGATGATCTCCACCCCCATCACCACCATTACTATCACCATCTCCATGCACAGTGGCACATATAAACCGGATTCAACCCTAGACTAGACACCACTTCACCATGTTACAGCGACAATTCCTTCGTGCTGCTCTACTACGTCCTACCCACGCAATCCGCACCAGTAATACTATCCGTCCAGCTATATATACCTCAAGCAGACATCTCAACTCTACACCACTACATACCACACAGAAACACCACTTCTCTCACACAACCACCAGACCCCAATCCAACCTACACAAAATGGCTTCTGCAAGCAACGAGAACTTTAAGCTGGAGAATCTCTTCGGCGTGAAGGGCAAAGGTACCCACACCCTATACCATCCCCATATACCCCCTCCTCCTACATCTCTACCACAACAGCAAGCTAATAAAAAATTAACAGTGGCCCTAATCACCGGCGGGGGCTCCGGCATCGGCCTAATGGCGACCCAAGCACTCGCGACCAACGGGGCAAAAGTGTACATCACGGGCCGAACACAAGAGAAACTCGACCGGGTAGCAAGCCTCTACAACAAGAACATAAGCGGGGAGATCATCCCGATCGTGTCAGACATCACATCCAAAGAATCCATCAGCAAGCTCGTAAAGGAGATTGAATCGCGCGAATCCCACCTCTCCATCCTGATCAACAACGCAGGAATCAGCAGTAGCACTGATAACACGGAACCCAGCGACGCCACGGAACTGAAGCAATCGCTGTTCGATGATGCGACCCCCATGAGTGAATGGGAAGATACCTACCGGACGAATGTCATGCAGTTGTATTTCACCACGACGGCTTTCTTGCCGTTGTTGCAGAAGGGGTCCGAGAGGGAGAAGGGGTGGAGTAGTACTGTGGTGAATATTACGAGTATCTCGGGTATTGTGAAGGTGTCGCAGCATCATTTCGCGTATAATGCTAGCAAGGCGGCGGCGATTCATTTGACCAAGATGTTGGCGCATGAGGTGGCCGATAGTGGGTTGAGGATTCGGGTTAATAATATTGCTCCGGGGGTGTTTCCGAGTGAGATGACGGCGGGCGAGAGTGATGAGACGCAGAAGAGTCAGTTGGCGAAGGAGAAGTATGAGGGTAAGGTGCCGGCGGCGAGACCGGGCAAGGATGAGGATATGGCCAGTGCGGTGCTGTTTGTTAGTACGAATCAGTATTTGAATGGGCAGACGGTCGTCGTGGATGGGGGGTATGTGTTGGCTGCTGGAACGGTTTAGTGTACTAATATGTATGAGAGTGTGAAATGTATGATGAATGTATGTTATTGATGTACATCAAGGTTATACATCCATTCTGATCTCATCACTTCAGATGCTTTGATCCGTCGATTGGCATCGGGGTTTAGCATCGCGTATACCACGTTTCTGCATTGTGCCTGTCACACACACACACACCACACGTTAGCACAACTACCCCAAGTATCCCAAGCCACCAACAAGAACATGATGTAGAGAAAAGGGATAATCTTACCCCTCCCAACCCCTCAATAACTCCATACCCCTCCCTCCTCTTCCTCCCCGCAAGATACTCCGCATACCGCCCATCCTCCTCACTCGCACTCCGCCAGAGAATCCTCCCCAGTCTGAGGACAAGGTATATAATCCCGACAGCCCAGATATCCACAGCCCGGGGATCATCATCCCCTGCTACCCCTAGGGAAGGATTCCCATACCCACGTCGACGATAAGCCGAAGAGTAAGCCGAAGAGTAAGGAGATGGAGAAGGAGGATGATGAAGTACCTCCGGCGCAGCATAAGGATTGATCCTCTTCCTTCTATCACATCTTCCCTCCAACTCCTCAAACTTCCCTATCCCCATCGATAATCCCCTAACAAGGGGATATACATCCTCTTTCCATGCAGCGCAGTACCCACCATCACCACCACCATCTTTCACCCCAACATGGTCGTGAGAGAGTTGAGAATCCAACACCCTCGCATCCCCCAAATCCCCCAACTTGACACATACCCCATTCCCGTTCCCACTCGCATCTCCAGAAAAAATCAAAACATTCTCCACACAAACACACCCATGAACCACCCCCATTTCGTGAAGAAACTCCACTGCGCTCATTATTTGATACAGAATCTTATCTGCTTCTCTCACTGGCATAACACTATCCCCATGGGAAGCAGAGGAGGAGGAGATATACGTCCCGAGATCACCTAATTCGCAATACTCACTTACCAGACACGTTTCTCCGCGCGAGTTGGGGATGATATCAATAGTGTGGAGAAGATGTGGATGGTAGAGGGTGGACGAGAGGAGGGACTCGAGGGTGGATTTTAGGGTTTGTTTGGTGGAGAAGGGGGTTGGGCGGAGGGTTTTGATCACATGGATTATTTTTCGTTTCGTGTTGGTGTTGGTGGTGGTGTTGGTGGTGGTGTTGGTGTTGGTGTAAAGTCGAACGGAGCTGGAGTTGCCGTAGTGGAGAATGGTGGTGCAGGTGCCGTATTTGTCTTTGAGTGATTGAGGTGTATTATTTTGTTGTTGTTGCTGAAGATGGTGGTGGTGGTGGTGATGGTGAGGGAGGAGAGGACTCTCTTCTGATATGATGGTTGTGTCTGTGTTTGCTTCTGAGATTGTAGCAGTGGTATGTGCATGTGTATGTGACTGTGTATGCCATGGAAAAGGAACCGAAGGGAACGAGAACGAGTACTCCGAGAAAGGGAGTTTGAAACATAGGTAGTTTTTGGCGATTGCTATTGTTGATGGCATTTTCCCTCTCTTTGAGTATAGAGTAGTGTATACTATGTAGAAATGAAGTAGGGTAAAGTAGATGTAATAATGGGGAACCATCACGTATTTACCTCTGCTCCTCCTCCTACTACTACAAGGACTGAAAGTATGCGGCAATTGTCGATCAGTCAGAGAGTGCGGAGGTACTAAGTAGTGGTTCTACCTCCTGACAGACAACCCTTAACTAGCTAGTTAGTTAGTAAATGTATGGTCCCAGCACGTCCAACTTAATCCCTCGCCGCGCGAAGGATCGCTCACCTTCCACCATCAGAATCACTTACTTCAAGGCTGAAAAAATAACTACCTACTAAAGTAGGAGAGTAGGTAGGGTACGATGACATCTCATCACCACTCACGTAGACTGCCAGACTACTACTACTACTACTACTACTACTACTACTACTACTACCACCATGTATGTCGTACAACATACATATAGCTGCTAACTTATCAGACAGAAACCAACTGTACCTGCTACTGCCACCTGCACAACATCAAGCAAGGGTCACAAGCATCCTACCGTCACCGCCAGTCCCAACTGATGTAGATGAGGGATTTCCATCACCAATCAATCAATCCTAATTTTCTAGTTAGTAGACAACCCCGCGCCACGACAATCCAGACCAAATATGGGGCTGGGTTGAACCGCGGGACGGATCTGAACGAACCAGTAGTAGTTTAGTTTATTTTGTCCTACTATCTGCATGCAATGCATCATTCTAGGTAAGCTGTAAGCTGTAAGCTGCTGAAATATAATAGCTGTGTCTATCAATACTCCATATCATACACCATGCAACGACAGAATCCCAGTCCATCAAATCACCGACCAGCGAATTACCCTGCCATAGTAATATGTTCATCGAAGAAAAAGAAGATAATTATCTAAATTGTGACTGCGAGGCACCAACAGTAGCAGCAGCAGCAGCAGCAGCAGCATCACCGCACCTTGCCTGCCTCGCGCACTTCATGCATAAATCCGTCCTCGTCACCCGCCGAGCCCAACATCCAGTAGTCGCCCATGCCAGATGCCATCTGCCCCCCTCCGAACCCAGTTGCGGAGGCCGGGGCACTGTGTCGCTCCTGCGTCCGAGTGCCCCCCTGTCGCGGTCCCCAGCTGAGAATGTCCTGCACCGCCTTGCGACTCTGGTCGTCCGGCTTAGTGTACCCAAACAGCTGGGGCTGCAAGCATCCAAGGATCGCAACGGCCGCCCGGATCATGATCCGGTCTCCTTCAAACACCCAGCAGTCCCAGACCCGGCTGAGACGCTCCAAGTCCAGCCCGTTCGTCAGCAGCGACCGGAACATCGGCTCCCAGATCTCTTCGTCGCTGAGTCGGAGCGTCTCGTGCAGATGCGTCATCAAACGTGGGAATTTGTATTTCAGCGTCGCAGACGCCAGTGAATATGTACGACCGATCGCCCCGCGGTCCAATGTAAGAAAAGCAACAGGGAGCGGCCGGTTGAGCGCGTTGGCCATGGCCAGGAACGCGGACGATGGCGATGGGAATTGCAGGACAAGGAGGGCAGCGATGGTCTAGAAATAGTTAGTGATGAATCATTGATGGATGGCATGAAAGAGAACTCACATGCAGGCCACTGACATAGCCCACGTCGCTGCGATACATCGAGTACGCCTGCAACACATCGATCAACGTCTCGCGCAGCGGACCGCCGACTTGAAACAAGTTCAGGTCAGGGAACGCCTTGGACGCATCAGCGTCGATCGCCTCGAACCAGTCCCTCATGCGCTTGTTGGTCTCCCCAGAATCGCCCTCGGGCCGCGCCCGCACGTCCTTGGCGCGCTGCAAGGCCTTTTTGTATGTTTCCTCGGAGAGAGCCAGCTCATTGCCGATGGCACGCTGCCAGGTCGAGCCCCGGATCCGAGGCGGCACTCCGCGCCACCATAACTCCCGCGTGCGGGTTTCATTAATGACATTATCCCAATTCGGGTACACGTACTCGTCCCAGATCTGCTGCAGAGTCTCGCGAGTGTTGTCTTTCTCGCATTTCGCGGAAGCAGCCTTCGCCGCACGGCGTTTATCTAGAATGGTCAGTTGTCGAAGATGGCAGAACGAGACAAGTCACATACCTGCTTCCTTGGCCTGCGCCATCATCCGCTTGTATTCCTTCAAATGCCGCTTCTCCTCCTTCTGGTCCTTCGGAGGCAGCCAGCTGGGCCGCGTCCGCGTCAGGACCTTCTCCTTCTCCTTGCTGGGAGGTAACGGATCAATCATGATGTTGGATTTCTGCAACGGGGGCAGCTCAATGGTGCTTTTGGATCCCCGCTTGGACTCCTCGCTCGACCGGAGAGAGGAGAGCCCGCTTTGCAGACGCTCTCCCCGCTGGCGTTGGCGCTCATCGGCGTGGAACTCCAAAGCTTCCGTGATGATCTTGGCTTCTTCCGACAAATCCGACATCATGTTGTTGTACGAGTATGCTCGCGGATTGCGGGGCGAGATCTGGCCGCGCTCAGGTCCTGCAGAGCTGGAACGATTGTTGCGGGTCGTGGGAGATCGCGAACCGGAAGGCGACCGGGGCAGAGTGACATCGGATACCGAATGCGACAGCGGCAGGGGTCGAGGGCCTGGACTGCGACCGTTGGGGCTGGAGGCCCGGGATGGCGCTCGATCCTGCACCGGCCGCGGGGAGATGGGAACATTCCACAAACTCGCATCCTCGGGTAACTCTTCATCGGAGTCATGGTATTCATCCTCCAAATCCTGCACGGTTTTGCGCGGTCGCTGCCACGAGGGTTTCCGGTTGAGGGTGTGGGTATTGACGGGGGTCAGGGACAGGCTGTGGGTAGACGGCGACGAGCTCAAGCTCGATGTCGGTCGCAGCGGGGAGGAGGAACGCGAACGATGAGGCTTCGTGACTTGGAGGGCGGATTGCTTGGTGGAGGCTGGATCCCGCTGATTGCCGGGGCGGTGCTTGGGACCACGGCCCGGCTGAGCCAAGGTGCCATTGACCTGCTTTCCGGTAGGGTAGGGTGTCTTTGTTTTCGTGGCGGTCAGATCGCGTGTTGTCGCAACCGCCGATTTCTGCATGATGGCCGCTGAAGCTCGTGTGATCCCAGCATTTTGGACGTACGGGGTTGCACCCTTGGTGTAGGAGACATGCACTTCATCCTGGAGGTCCACTTCTTCGAAATTGGAGATATCAGTGAAGATGGCTTCGGGGCCGGAGTGTTGCGAGGAGGAACGAAAGGAGGAAGACTTGGAGGACTTGGACCCGGAGAGGTCAGGAGGGGAATTCGGGGTGGTCGTACAAACGGTTGTCATTTCGGCGGGAAAGCTGCAGAGTTCGAGAATCTCCCCAAATCAGAGTAAGGAAAGAACCTCAGGGGGATGATCGTTAAGCAGCTGCGTATACCAAGGACGAGAAGGAAGACGATGTAAACACGTCCGATGGTGTCGCGAAATGAAGACAAAGAAAATAAGCCGTTATCGACCGAAAGACGGGGGGTTGAAGAGGTGGGATGATCTCCGGATGGTATTGATTAATAGGTGTGTGACGGAAGAACCCCAAGCAGGATGCTGCATGCAATGGAAGCGGCAGAAAAAGTGGCGGATCAGAAGATGGTCGGGGGCGAGGCTGTTTTTCTTTTTCAAATTGGTTTCGTATTATTCTTGTCCTCCTCTTACTATGCACTCAAGGGATTCAGGAGTTAATCGTGCAGCGAGCAGTGCATTTGGGGGCCGGAGCCGAAGGGGGAAGGGGACGGAGAGAGAGAGAGATGAAACGATCCCCGACAAAAACCGAGACAAGAGGCAGATGAGACAAGCAGCGCGGAGGAGATATGAGTTGGGAAAACGATAGACTAGACTAGACTAAAGCGAAAGACTGGAATGTAAGGAGATAATTAAGAAAAAGAAAAGGAAACGAAAGTAGTATGAGGATGAGAGAGAAAAGAAGAGCGAGTGTGAGAGAATTTGGGAGGTGGAATGAATGGGGAAAAAGAAGGTGGAGGAGGATGAATGAAAGCAGAAGAGAAGGAAGAGGAGGAGGAGGAGAAGGGGGATGGGATGGGATGGGATGGGATGGGATGGGATGGGATGGGATGGGATGGAGATGGGGATAAGATTAGGATGGGGATACAGTAATACTACGTACTAGTAGTAGTTGGTACTAAAGATGGATGCAATCAGACCAGCAGAGAGAGAGAGAGAGAAGCTGGCTGCAAACGAGCAACCAAACGGCAGTTCTGGACAAGGCCTGGCCAATCCCACTGGAGGCACTAGACGGCGATGGACTGGCGATCATTGGCTGTCTCTTCCAGAAGGATGTCTGCTTCGAACAGCGCACGGATTAATGGAGGGACGATAATGACCGTGAAATGAGGGTGGATATTCTTCTCACCAGGAAACGGTTCCAGTTAGTCCCGTTAGTCCTGTTAATCGAGTTCAGTCCAATTAGTCGAAGTAGTCGTGGGTAAGTCAACTCGGAGTGGTATAGTGTTGGTTTGCAAGTTTACTAAAGCATTACCCGCACCGCCACAGCCGAAATGAAGGCTGATACTAATTGGGTTTCCCACCCGTTTATTAATTGCCCAGGAGGAAGAATTAAAAAAAAAAAAAAAAAGAAAATTAGAAGAGAGACGGAGAGAACTGAACGCTGCACACAGTCACTACTACGTAGATACTAGTAGCTAGTCTATACCCTGGATAAATCCTCATGACCTTGGAAGACTTGTATGGAACTTCATTCCTTTTTGTTGACAATTTACCGTTGATGGGCAACCACACCCGCCCAACTATTTTGCCTCCCCCTTTTCCAAGGTTCTCTTCCTCCTCTCCCTTCATCAGGGCTCCTCCCTTCAGATCTCTCACCCCCTGATCCAATTCTCCGTTGTCCATGGCCACCAGATCCGTGGTATGTGTGCTGCCCTGCCCCGTCTTTGTTTTTTTTGGCCCGGCCGACGAGCCGCGGGTCTCCGGACTGGAGTTCTCCCTTAGTCACTAGTTATAACTGCTAACTTAGTTAGCTGCTAACTAACTAGATGAAATGGGTGCTAACTGATTAGGGCTTAGTATTTAGTGAGGATACCTAAACTACTCCGTACTGGGTACACCGTCCATACTTAGGTATTAGTTACTTACGGTCGCGGTAAGTGCCCGATCGCAGCCAGAAAAACCTCCTCGGCCTCTGCGTCCACCCCACGACACTAAATCGTTCGGAACCAGGTTTCTTGATCGAATCTCAGGAACTGACCTGCCCTTTGCACCCTATACCGTAAGATTCATTGGCTACAAATCCTGCATCAGGCTTTTCTGTGCACTTTCCCCCCCTCCGTTCCACTCCGAACTGAGTGGGCTTTGAGATCGGACGCCACCCGCATCGGGGAGTGTTTGTGTGTGTGTGTGTGCGTGTGTGCTGTTTCTAGTTCGATACGTAGTACAGAGTAATCCTGTCGTCATGCCCGTTCTCATCCTTCCAAGGCCACCGCATCCAAATTACATCACCCGCTCCCGGTTCTTGTTGTTGCTGTGCTTGCACTCTGCAGGTCGACTCTATGCTAGTCTGGACTCTTGCTCAACCTTGATCTCCGATGCGGACCCTACGATGCCCATTCGGCATCTTCTTTCCCAGCCTATCTACATTCAGCAAGGGGGTCTAGCCTCCCACGCTCGGTCGGTCATCTGCTGTCTTTAGTCTCTACTCTCTAGAACTTCCAGCCGCCATATGTCGCATTGCCGGTTCGCACCACCTGCCCCAGCTGCCAGGCCTGGGTCTGGGAATTGGGCTGGCTCTCTCGGAGAATGACATCCAGCCAGCCCAACACCCGCGCGTATCGGGCTTGCTTGCGTCCCAGCACGAACCGGAAGGCCGCGGCAGCCAGGAATTCAACCTCGCAATGATGCACCCCGCGACCAGCTGCGGCTGGTACGTTCGCCTCACGTCGGGCTTGGACCATGCGGGTGGCTAGGTGTATCATGTCTCGAATGATTCGAATCACCACCTCGGGGGCTGGGTGCATCTGCCCGGATGACTTCAAGTATCGGTACATCTTCATTCCCGATATGACGAAGTTTGCATACAGGTTCGACAGGATTACCCCAATCGTGTTGTGTTGCCTGTCCAAGTACATGGGATGCATGAGCAGCTTGAAGGACCCCAGCAGTTTGCGGTGAAGAGTCCGGCCCGGTACTCGCGTCAGTTCGACCGTGAGCGAGTTCGAGAGACTAGTGGCGACGGATTGCCCCCCTTCCAGAATGCGCTCATGATCCTTGTAGATCTCTAAAGAACGGGTATCGATCAGACATCCACAGTAAGGGAAGAGCCGAGTATCCACGAGACGCGGGACCTGAATCCCCTCCACAGCGGCGGCGAAGTTGACCAGGCTTTTGGCTGGATTGACTGAGACGCCATAGGCAGGCTGCCCGGGGATCATCACCTGGAGAAAACGCATAGCCAGTGAGGACTCGGTGGTGACGAGTAGGAAGTCGTCAACCAAGCGAACCAGTAAAGCATTGTCTGACTGCAGGAATCCCAGTACTTGCTGCTCCATGTCTGCATAGAATAGATTACACAGCATGCTCGATAACACTGAGCCCTGGGGAATGCCATTGCATTGCCGAAAGTAATTCCGCCCGAACTTAATAAGATTGTTTCGCACGTGGTCATCGAGGAGGTCGAGTAAATCTTCCGCATTGAATTCTCTCTGCATGAGCGTGTCGACAAAGACGGTGTTTCGCCTCTGGCTGGTCTCGCCGTTGGCCACCGCCTCTGCCAGGTGCTGTGGCCTTGCAGCAGGGGCTGCTCTACCGACAAATCGCCGCCTAGCCTTGCTTGCTCGTTCGTGCGATGGCCACAGGATGTTGAACTCATCAGATGGCGTCATTTCGACGTGCTTGGTATAATGGTAGGCGGCTTCAGTGATCAACCTTTCAATAAGATGGACCAGGCTTTGCTGAGGGATTGTATCAAAGCAAGACTGGATATCGAGTTTGACAAAGTACAATGGAGGCACTGAGCCCTGATTCTGTAGGTGTCTTTTGAAGATCTTCAATTGGGAATAAATCTCCCCAACTGACTGCACACATGAGCCTAGTTTGGACGGCGCTCGTGTCTTCTCGTACTGGAGCATGCTATGAATCGGGGCAACAACCGAATTGACACTCCAGAATTTACCGGATTTTGCGTGGCCCGTTAGTACAGGTTTTCGCTTGAGATTTAAGAGAGGGCGAATGCCTGTTGATTTAGGCAAGAGTCGTAAGGAGCCATATCCCATGCCGCTCTTCTCTAATCTCTTCTCTACCACACGCTGGGCTGTGGCTGGCTCCAACTCTTCGAAAACGCCAGCCTTGAGCTCAAGTATCGGTCTTTCAGTCAGCTGATACCAAATGTCGTGCCGGAAATAGAACAAACGGTTTCGACCAGATTGGGACTCGGTGACATAAAAGTTGGCACGGATGAGTGGTATCAGGATTGAGTCGAACAGGTAGTACACAAACTCATGAAGTAGCTCTGTTCGCTTCTCGAAGTCGGACCTCGACAGCTTGTGTGGCAAGGGATTGAGTGCTTGTCTTGTATTGGAAGGAGGCTCAAGCCAAGGTATATAAGTAACCTGAAAATATACAGTTAGTATTAGAAGACAAGGATGTGGTTGTGATTGTCAATGAACCTTGATCCCCTGGCACACATCCTGAAGACTCAGGTTTTCGAAACGCCGCATTTGCACGAATTGATCGACATGCTTCAGGATTTTATCTTGATGCAGAATTCTGTTGTGACCAGTTCCGTAGAATTGAGGGGGAATCAGGTTCTTCACGACAGCTCTGCAGAAGGCGGAGACAGATGAGGCAGGCGTCGCATAGTCGGTCAAGCTGAGCTTCGGTGCTTGTAATTTTGGCATGTCGCTGATACTTGGATCTACCGAGGGACTACCATCCGGGACTGAAGAAGATGCCTGGCGGCAGGACAGTCGTGACTGGGTGATCAAAGACTCTGATGTCGACAATTTGTTATCATCGAACGGTTCAGGGCCGAGTTTCCACGGTCCAATACGCTAAATTATTAGCATCAGCCTACAATGTTATCGGTGAATCAGCGAGCATACCTCTGCAGGACAATAATAATTGAGCAAATGCGCATAGGAACAGTGCTTAGTCCGGTTCTGCAACTGCTGGACCAACTCTACAGCTTTGCCTTGAAGTCGTCTGGGGATCATGCTTTCTGAGTTTGAATGGGCTCGCTTTGCCTTCTCTAACTTTGCAATCTCATCTTCGCGATAAGCATAATCTTTGAATATGTCTTGCCCATTTGACACGCTCGAAAAGACATTGTGCAAGCCAAACTGTTTGGGAAATATGTATTTCAACACATGAGTAGTGTGCGCGAGCGATGTGGAAGAAGGGAAACGGTTCAGAACATCTGCAACGTTAGCCAAGGGGCCAAACTATTGATCTTGGCTGACTCACGACTCTTCATCCCAAACTGTATCTTTCCTTTCGAATCAAGCACTGGAGAAGCATACAGAATACGTCGGCGATGGAAGACAACAGGAGCTGGCTTCTGTGTGGTCGGCTGGCAGTCAGAAGTGCTTGTATTCTTTTTCGTCTCCTTGCGATCAGACGCTGGTACAGGGTTGCTTGTCACAGAGGAAAGTGCATTTTTTGGAGCCAGATGGCTTTGAGGCACCTTGTTTACAGGTTCAAGTGTTGATAGAGGGAGTCCTAGATTGCCATCTTAGTAGTGTACTGTACTCCCTATGGAGCTGGCTTACCACTTAATTGGAAATAAATTCCTCTTTGCTGATTAACGGCCACAAATATTCCACAATCCAGGAGAAGTTTTAGCATGATCTCTTCCCCGTTGTCTCCCAACAAGCCAAGCACTTCTGTCCATGGCGCCCGCTTCAGTTGCTGAACACTGTCATTAGGGAACTGCACCTCGAGGCCTGAAATACTGCATGAGATCGTTCGCTTCCTATGAGCAGGATGCACGCTCTCACGTCTGAAGCCCCGGGTCAATAGATGAAGGGGCCTTTGACGGGAGAATTTGTCACGACTGAACAGAGAGGATATGACGAAATCTACCAGCTATGATGTACCGTCAGTACTTATCGAGCCAATCCAGAAAAAAGTGGATTGTACCTCTGCCTGAGCACATGCTGGTCCAGTGTCCGTGCTGGTTTGTTCAGATCTGGACTGCGACTGCGTGAATGCAGCTAGCTCTTGCCGGCGCTTCTCGTTGCATGTCGGATGCGAGTCGGTCAATATGCCTATCAGCGTCGTATCAAGAAATTCAGCAAGTTGTGCTGAACCACCATCGTCATTGGTCTCGACAGGAGCCTGCTCATGACGTATTGACACAATTCTCCGACGGCGGGATTTGGAGGATAGGGGTATTTGGCGTAGAAGGTACTGTCTCAGCGTTAAAACCTGAGAATAGTATAGTGAGATGACTGGATGAGAGTGCCCTGCAGCATCATCACGAGCCAGGCTGCGCTGTCCCTTGAAACAAGTGGATGCTGGAGAGGTGCATGGCTGCGACAACCTCTCCAGCGCACGGTCACCCTTAATGGGTCTCTTCCTCTTCTTTCCCATTAGGAAAGAACTTGAATCAATCAGGACCAGTTCGCTTAATGCAAGCGACTGTCTGCCTCACATGGATGGGTGGTCTGATCATTACATTTGGTATGACGGCCAGGTGTTGTGATATGCCCCAAAAGGGAAGCGCGTTGAGACGCGCTCCGGCAACGCGACAGCCGGGGATCACGGGAGCAGCCGTCCTTACCGACCTTCTGCAACCAGTCAACCAATACCGAAATTGCTACGGATACCCCTACTAACTTTGCTGATTGCTCATTCTGCCATGTCCGTTTTCCAGTTCCCAGGAACCTAGAGCCACTGCTCCTTTACTCAGGATCATGCGCCAGCATGAACGAAAACCAAAAACCCCTTAAAGATGACCCAGAGAAGCCGAGTCGAAATCCGCAAGCGATCGAAGAACATGGGGCGCCATGTTTGGGAGTGAAACAATTCTCCACTCGCCAGCGCATATCCCGAGAACAACGGTCAATAATCGAACCTTCCAAGCGGTAGCTCGATAGGAGACGTTCCTTAATGGGAAGCCTGGTAAGGCAACAGAACCACTGCTTCTGTTTGAAGTCGAACTCTATTTAGCTTCTTGCCTGCGTCGTCGAACTATTCGAAACTATCCGCTTCATTGGACTATTGTTCACTCAAACTTCCAGAGCGAAGCTCCTCCTGAAACGAGTTCTGGGAACGTAGATCGTCAGGGTAAGGCGGCTATCTACAGGCAACTCTCAAGAATAATTTTTGGGAGCGCGGGTCACACGTTCTGACAGAAAACCGTCAATCGAAGCGGATTAAAAAAGGATCCCTTGCTCCATATAGGCTACCACACTCCCACTGGTCATTGGCGGCATCGGATCAGTAATGCTCGCTTCTCGAAGGGAGAATCTGTAAGCGACCGCCGATCTTTGCCAACTCCTGCTCGGCGGTTCATAGTTTAACTGATTGGTGCGCGGAAAGAATTTTCCTTTTCATGACCTCAATGGAAAAAACCGACACATCACGAGTTAACCGAGCTAAGGAGCTCTTCACTCTTCAGCCGTAGGATGTGTAAACCTTAAAAGACTACATTGCAGGCGGCAGAACAGAGCCTGGCGTGTCCGTCAAAGGGATGGCGGATGCAAGAAGGCGACATCCGGCGGGCCGTCGGGTGACCAGCTCCTCCGTCAGTGGTTGAATTTGGATTAACTCATTACCATTGCATTATTGCGACCGGGAAGATGTATCGTAGCAAGGGTGAAGGCGTAAGACTGATGAGTCTGAGAGGGAGATACACTTACACAAGAGAGGGCCACTTGAGTAAATTCGGATCCGTGTGCCCCACACATTTTTTCCCTCCTTTTTCTTCCCTTTCTCTTTTTCTTCCTTTCTCTCTCCACTCACCATGCCTTCATTTTCAAAGGGAAAGTGAAAACGACATTGTTCGCTAATGCCGGAACTCGGATCCGGATTGCGGACGAGACTGGGTTGGAAAAGGAAAGAAAATCTATCCAATCAGACTGAATTTCCGTCGATCCCTTGTTCCTGAAGACACCGCCGGATAAGAATAGAAATCATAATGAGGTTGTGTTCAACTATCGTAGCCACGGTACTCGCACGGACAAGGATGGGGGAAGCTGAGCCAGATCCTTGGAACGACGGCGGTCTAGAAAGGTCGCCGCTAGGCTCTAGCAAGTAGTACCAAGAACCAGCATTCCCGACGGTGGTCAATCAATCGCAATTGATTGCGTCCCCACCGCGTCAGCCTCTCTCGCCTTGCGGAGTCTGGGGGGGGGGGTAAGTTTTCTTTTCTGCTACAGGCTGGCTGAAAACCACAGCCCCTGGTAGGCATGCAAAGCATGTTGACAGACAGTTCCGTCTCCTGTCTGTCTGTTGGTACCTGACCCAAGTCCCGGAGCCCTGGTTTTGCAAACGCCTCCCCCCGAAGGAAGGGGTGAAGAACGAGAAAAGAGTAGGCCAACAGAAGGTTGAATGTCGCTGCATGAAACTGCCGATTGCCCCGTATAATTATATCATGCAAATCAGTCCGTGGTACTTTTCATCCTAACTGCAAGGACGCCCAATTGCCCATGGCTGTGAAATAAGCGGTGTGGTGGTAAGGGCACCTGTCCTATCTAAAAGGACGTCCTTTGTTAGTCCGTGGCGGCGATGGTATCTCTAGCAGTGCCGGTAAAAAGGACGGGACTTGTTGAAAGCAGTCGAGGTTACTCGTCCATTCAGATTGCAACACGATGCTCTGTACTAGTGTCACTTGCCAGTACAAAGTATATTCATCCACGGAGCACTCTAAACTAAATTAGACTCTTCCACGACCACCCATGACTGGGCCTAGTGGAGCGAAGCAGGTACGTCATGATTATTATTGCAGGCGGTGACATGCGAACGGGATATTGACAGATGCATGCTACATACCAGAGCAGAAGCAATAGAGTCGACTACTATGCGTCCCGCAGGCATAATGTGCTGTTCGGATCAATTTAACCAGTAGTGATTCATCTCTGAAAAGTGAAGGACAATCGGAAAAATCAAAGTCACTGTCAGCCGTACTTACGGCACTGGATAAAAATCAAGGCAGACTTGTCAATGATTATGCAAACCAACGAATCTACATGGGTTGTGCAGTTGGTTGGTGTGTGGAACACAATTCACACTTTGTGTATGATAAAGACACATAGGCAGCAGTTCGGCTGGTTCTGGGTAGGCTGATAAGGCGCGGCACATATCCTTTCTACCTCATGAGGACTTTCCGCAGGTAGTAGTACTTAATCTACTAGACCTACAGCAGACCAATAGTATGGCTCGTTCAGGTGTCACAATAGGCACTTTTATGTTCATGTCCCACTCGAATACACCTATAAAGGCATGCTCGTGTCGTTGGGACTGGCTCGATGTAGTTATTCCGACTCACCGACATGGCAGATATGACCCCTTTCCTCCTCCCTTACTCCCACGGTGCCACTGTCAAACGGATGGGAAAGGCAGAGACGAGTGCGCTTTTCATCCAGGAGGGAGAAGACGGATGATCACGGGGAATATCCACTTCATCCAATCATCTCATGAGAGGAGTCACATCTCCTATACGCAAAGCTGCCACCTACCTTTCAGGGATGGACAAATTGATAGTAGCAATAGGTAAGTACTGATTCAACATCGTAGAATGTATGCTATTATCTGTCATGTCCTCATGGAAAGAAAAGTACTCTTCCATGCAGTAACTGACTCGAGCAATAAGGCAGTGGAACTTCATCGGCTGGTTTAGAAGCATCAGACAATAGATTACTGTATTGCGTATGTAAGTCGTACGCAGTACGCACCCAATACGTAAGGTACAAGGATGATGGGTTAAGCATTGAGCACAAGCATAACTATCAGAAAGGGAACATGATTATCAATGATCCTATATACTTGCCAGAAGAACAGGACTCAACGTTGACATTGTGCCACTTGCGAGACAAACAAGGGAAAATTTCGACGAAGGAGAAATCCCTCAACTAATATCTTTCATCCCCGACAAGACTGGACGACCACGGGCTTGAGAAGAGTAATCAAACAAAGACTGGCGCATGAGACCGAGTCCCATGGTACACAACCCAGGGAATGAAGGGCCGGATCATGTAATCAAACTCTGTGCCCTTTTGCATTTCCCTTTTCTTCCCTTGTGTCAAACGATCTAGAAGAAATTTTCTTCTCTAGAACGTCTCCTGATCCGAAGACTGATAAGGCGCTAGCATGCCTCGCAGCGGATAGGTCTTTCCCTTCACCATATAGCCATTCCTTCTGCCTCACTAAATGCAGACTGCGGGAAAGCCGGCCACTAATCGGTGGGATCGGCAGTAATTGGCGATCTAGATAGTAGATAGATCTTCAAAATTTGCCAGTCCTTTTCCCCCCTGGGGCTGTTATCTTTGTTTACATACAGGGAAAGCCAGGGTGTGGCCACAAGATGGATCAAATACCGACTTTTTCTCGAACTATTCAAGCGAATGAATGAGTTGACTAGTCGTTTATCTATCAACTCTAATCTGCTTCGTCATCTAAGCACAATAAGCCGTCTCTCAAAGATCTAAGACCTGGACTAGACCGCCGGCTAGTGTCCGTTCTCCATAGCGAACAGGTCGTAGTAGTAAGTAGTTAGTACTAATCAGCGGCCAGGAGTTTCAGGTATTGACAATACCGTACACAGCGAATCTTTCCTTTGATGGAGCTTTCCCGCGAAGCCAGAACCATTCGGATGTACAGGCCCATTTTTTTTCGGGCCTGAGTGGGAGGGGGGAGGGGGAATGAGACTGAATGGGCATCAGACATTGAGACCCTCTTTTACTTACCCTTTTACTGCTCTTTTCCCTTTCCTCATTCAATGTCTTTTGTACGATCCATTCGTC